TACATAGACCGCTCGCTCAGTAGCCCTACATTCATTAGCTGTTGTCCAACTCGATGCCGGCTGAAGCTTAAAGTCGACACGAGGAACATATGCGATATTGTAGGCACTCACTTTTCCCCTTTTCTCAGTGTTATCATATGCCGCCGCCATGGTAAACATCACACGGTAAATTACAGAGCGTCCGCCCACTGCACAGTAACAGCAAGGTAGCCTGGGCGAGAACAAGAGCAAAAAGGTGACAACAAAATGGTTACACTTGCGTCAGCGAAGACGACGAAGACACGACAAGAAGCTCAATTTTCAGATTTTCCCTTTCCCGTTAAAGAGTGAGGGAAAATGGCGGGACTCGCGTTTCCACACGACGAGGCGCGACGGTCTCGGCTGGCGTCGACGGCGCCATCACTCGTCTATTCCTTTACGTTCCATCATCGCAAGCCTTTGCCTTTATTGTAGCAGCAGCTGCAGCAGCTGCTGCAGCTGCAGCTGTTGTTACAACTATCGATCTCTGAAGCGGACCATTATCTGTGCGATTAGCGGTTATCCAAAGCACATACCGTTCTAGCTAAATTCACGCGCTTTTTCCTCTTCTATTTAACTTAACTTAATGTTTCCTGTGTGCCTCGAAGCAGCTCACAAGGAGCTGTGCAGATCCATATCTGCCTTTGTTACAATGGGTGTTGCTCATAGCCACGTATGATACGGTTGTAACAATAATAGATAATTAATATAGCCTAGGTATTGTACAGGTATATAAAAGATTTTTACTTGCGCATTTTCAAACACTTTTATGATTAACATAGACGAACTGCCTTATTATTTTTTGGTGAGCATTAACGCCCTATTTGTCCTTGTTGCATTGCAATATTTCACTATCATGGCCGCCCTGTCCGTTTAGGCGGTGGCTAAACTATTAACGTATAGGTATGTACACAGATGCACACACGCATACACCCAAACATGCATTGGTAGCGCACTCAGAGTGGCGATTATTGCTTAGTGCAACAGCAGAAAATCGTCCTTTGCACCCATTTTACCCCTGCATCAATCATCTTCGACTGGGTGCGACAGTGGCGGCGACGCCGGTCGTGGTGATGACGATGACGTGCAAAAGGGAGAGCAATAAGCGAATGAGGAAGAGCATGATGGCGTGTTACGAGTTATGCGTCTTGGCTTCATTTTCAGCATTCGACGGATGGAAAAACCGCTCCAAGCATTAGTCGCCATTATGGTCACCGCTTGAAACTAAATCTTGCCAGAATGCAACCGCGCAAGTAAAACGTGATACGCAGTGTACAAGCATTGTAGACTTTGTTCGTTACGAAGTGTACGTGCATTCTGAGCGGTGGCGACATCCTGTGATTACGGGACATGTTTTTCTATCTGCTTTATGACAGCCTGGTCACACTTCAAAGACAGGCGAGCATGTAGGTTAGATATTCTTCATACGACGATCATAACTAGCACATATGAGCGGTGTCGTCGTTGTTGCTTTTCACATTTCGTGTTTTCCGCAGGACATTCGTTCACAGAGGACTGCTATTGAGTTCCTAGAGCGAAAGCAGCGCTTCGAATTGCCGTCTACGCGCTTCCCTGGTAACTCACTTAACAGCCCGTCTCCGCATCGCTCAGAGTGCTGCTGTTATGTTCGAAAGTAATTACAAAGACGACCGGCGTCGACTTCTTTTTTTTAGAGATGGAGCAACGGGCAACCACTGCAATTGATGGAGGAAAAACGACGATGACGAGAGGGAGGAGCAAGAGGAACAGCTGGTCTGTCGGGGTGTCGCTAGCGCTGCTGGGGGGCGGTGGTGAGGATTCGTGTACGATTTGCAAAGATGGCACGTTGATCAACGGCTTCCTTCTCTATTTGCCCCCCATCAGGTCGGCGCCCTGATCTCTCGACGACCCTCAAAGACGACAAGGCCTGGGATAGAGATGCAGGCGCTCTTCCCATTAACCCAGCATCACTACTGCCGTCATCAACATGGTTGAAACCGTCGCTGCTGCCCCTATCGCAAGTGGTGCTACAGGTGAGTCATTATTTTCCACCCATTATTTCTCTAAAATTCCTCGGCACTGTATTCTGTCCCAGTTCTCACAAATGCACACATTTTATCTAAAATATAATTACTGCTATGGCAACTCATGTTGTCGAGCAGATATTGCCTGTCAAGTCGCTTTATAGTTCAGGCTATAGAGAAACGGATAGATTTTTCGCTACAAGTTCTTTACAGCCTGTTTATACTGGGGAAACTGTGCTTTGCCGGTTCTAGTGATAAGTCAATACGAAAAATTGCTAGCATATGTGTAATAATTAGTAAAGCGTTGTACTCAAATGAGAATCGTTTGCTATAGGCGCAAATTGGAACGACTTTTCTGGAACATTTGGATTCGGTTTCTTTGTACATAATGGTATTGCTGTTACATGGCACAAAACTGTACAGCTTTCGCCAGGATTAAATTCAATCCGAAAAAGTCCTGTTGATTTGATCATTCAAATTTACGTAGGTAGTTCCCTACCATTTTTCTTTATAAAAAACGAAACTACATCCTAATACGACATTCTAGCCTGATTGGTCCAGTAAAAGGCCGATATGTATCAGAACCTAGTATTAATTTGGGCTGGCTCATGTACGATCATTCGGTGTAAGATTTCCGTTGCAGCGGATGATGCTACTAGGGAGACCGGGTGGCAAGTTTATATGTGTCAAATGTATAGTCAATACTTTGTTCGATTAGGCATATACTCAGCAAACAGAACCTGGGTCGGTGCAATGTAAATAGTTACTCAAAGTTCAGATTTAGGCAGTGGGCAAAGCAAATGTCTACATTTTATTTACAGAGTGATCATAAACGCGAGAGTACGACATATGCATATTAGAAATCGATTGTCAGTGTAACCGACTTGAGGCCTAGACTAAAATTAAAGGGTCGATAAATTGCCAAAGTTCAATTTTTTTTAATCGTATTTGTATATGGTGACGCTCAGCAAACGTACACGTGTTGTACACGTTTAGGAAGTAATAGAAAACTGCTGCTTTCGCTTAAAGCTGCTATGCTAAGAAAAATTTCAGCAAAAACGTAAAGGCGCGAAGATCCGGAGTTGAATCTGCATTCATCTTCAATACCGCTTGAGTCAGTTATTTTATTTTTGTTATTGACAGCGACGATCCTCTGTCAAGCGAACATACAATAGGATAATTGTGTGGCCTCTAACAAACCACTACTACACGAGGTTATTTTAAGGAATCATTTGGTTAATTAGAAGAATGAGCTCCATATCGGTGTCCCTTAGACCGACGACGGCCATTGTTCCTGGGATGTTAATAGCGTCTAGTTTCGAACAGACTATCTCCCAGTATTTTATTTTTAAAAAAAAAAGCATATGTTCATATTTTAAATACTAACTTCAGATTAGTGATCGAAGATCAGGCAGTACGTAACTATTCTGCCGCATAAGAGAGCTGCAAATGAATCACATAGAGTGATGTACTAGCGATTTCCAAAGCAATACATCTACTGGCGGCCTCCGCAACTATGCTCTCACCCCGACTGGCGTGCAAGTTTTTTTACACACTAGCATCTCTAATAAGTTTTTTTGTGCTTCAGCGATGCCAATGTTGTGACAGTCTTCAGTGCAATAAGTGATCGTAAATCTAAAAAAAAACCTTCAATTCATGTTTAGTCATACAGCCAGACAATAACTTGTGTTTAGTACTCATCCAGTAACAATACAGATATAACAGAAATCCTAAAGATTTGAGAATAACCAATATCCTATAAGAACAAATGATATGGATAGATTGGAAACGAAGCAACTATCGATGTTTCGAAACGCACATATTTTAAATATGAGTGCTTTCTAGATCACGGGCGAATCTTTGTATGTATCAGAAATGTGCCAGACCCGCACTTGGTGTGCGGATCTGACACATTTCTGAGGCAGTCTTTTTTGGGCCTCCGGTTTCCGGAGAAGCTCCGCCTAGCATGGCTCTATAGAGCATTTCGCTCGGGGCCTAGACTGGATTCGACCTAATGGGCGCTTCAAGAAACTAGCTTGCTTCGTTTTTCCACCTCGAGGAACCTTCCGACAAGCCTCTATATAGGTTCTAAAGGCAATCTGTTTGACATGTGAAGCAGCGCGAATGGCAGCAGGACCTCTTATGTTACCATCTTATAATTCTACTGAGCTATTCCTATTATTTGTTCAATGTCGATCCAACGTTGTTCTATTGCTATTGCACTTGACCGCAGTCATAAAATAGTAACAAAAACGTTGGGCTGGAGTTACTTAAATATACCGAGATTTCTTCATTAGCCTCTCTTAGCCTCGGTTTAATCAGGATCTTTTAAGGGTCCTTGTTTAATAAACCGGAAGGCCAGCAATGATAATAAACATATTTATTATTGTCATTATTAGTGCCTATTAGTGCAGGCGACAACTCTCTGCATTATTCGACTGGAACACATTTGTACATCGTTAATGTATCATTAATCATTATGAATTGCCGCAGATTCACAAGTTCTCTAATCTCCGGATGCCTTAGATAAATATGAAGGACTCAGCAGAACTTCGTTTCACTTCGCGTTATAAACATATACGCCATAGCACTCACCTGTACGTGTCGTTGATGGCGGGCTGACGACACATCTATAGTATACAATAATCGCTGATTATTGATGTACGCTTCATGTGTACAACAATCTCTACAATACAACAACAACAACAACAACAATATCCAGTACCCGCTTTAGGGGGGGAATTATTCAAGGGTGACGCTAGTCTATGAAGTTTGCCCACATCATCAATGTCGCCGGATTGCCTTTATAATAAGATCTGTAGGTAAACACTTTTAAGTTACCTAACAGAAAACAAATATGTGGAACCCGCAAACTATGCGTAATCCGTACACGGTTGTGTCATTGTCCTCTATTTACTCTATTCTACTGTTTCTGTCGCATACTCCACTACCCAGTAGTAGCAGCAAAAGTTCACCCACCTGTTACGATGACTCCAAAGAGAGCGCCCGCGCTCCTGGCGGCGATGGCAGTGTGATGATGTTGCATGGCAGTGCGTTGCCGCAGCCTGCCGAAAATTAAGCTGTTGTGGTTTTTTTTTATAACGCTGTTGTTATTGTTGTCGTCGTCGTCGTCGTCGTCGTCGTCGTCGTCGTCGTCGTCGTCGTCGTCGTTGATGATACAGTTCCGTTTATTGTTGTTGTTGCCGTCGCTGAGGGATCGCTGACAACGACGGTAATGATAACCGATAAGAATGAACAAGCTTATGATAATACAGATGATACTAATTGATGAATAGAAAAACTGAAGTGACAGATGATGTTCGTCTATCGGACCGTGTCTATGACGGTGATCGAAGTTGGGAACGAACTTCGTGAAAACGTCAACAGCAGTAGTAGCAACAACAACAATTAAGTAAAGAAAAGGGTACCTGACAGCTAATCCCCTTCGAAGACTTAGTAACAACAGTAACAACAATTACAGACAATCGTAATAATTGTTATTATCGTAGTATCGGTAGCTGTATTTGTATGACGATGAAGAGCACCCACAATCACCACCGGTACGGTAATCTGAACCCCACTCGAATGCCGGTACGGGAAGGAGCGGTCGAGGCAGAAGAGGGCAGGGCAGAAAAGGTTAAGGGGCGTATTCACAACAGCTGCTGTAGCTTATTCTGCCAAATTACAGTCTCCTTCTGACGTTTTGCTATTTCCTTGGTAATAATAAGTATTGTTGAAAAAAAACGTCGGCTTGTGCTTGCTATACGAGTGCACGAGTTATTATTAGTATCGTTGTTGTCCCTGTTGGCTGAGCGTAAGTAATTACTGCGATCGGGTAAGCAGTCGGTATTAAAGGCTTATATTAATTCTATGATCTGCTCGGAACAGTGATAACTCAAATTATTATAGCGACAACTTGGGTCTCGTTGCTATAGCAGATACAATCAAACGTCGTAGCGCGTTAAAAGTAAAACGCCGTCCAATGAAAGCGTCGAATTATGGTGATGATTTTATTGGCGAAAATCTACGTCCTTCTTCTTTGATCTTATTTTATAAACAAACCAACCAACAAACAACAATAACAACAGCCAGGCTTGTTTGGCTGACGACCTCCTGAACACAAACGTGTTATAATAGCCGACTGGCGAATGTAATGTCGTCGAGGGCTTCGTGGCGCTGCTGTATGATTAGCAATAGCTTGTTCTCCTCAGCTTTGTCGTTGTAACAGCAGATATCGTTAATGTTGTTCTGGTATGTTGTACACAAATGACTAAGACAGTGCCGCACTCACACAGGCAAACAACGGGTCGCTTGTAGCGTATCCGCTAGAAACGTATCATCAACGAACACAACATCAACTAATGAAAACACGTATTAATGAGGAACAGCGTACTTCAGCAACATAAACGACCGAATTGCGAAGATAGCAGTTTCATCAAAAGGTGCTTGATGCTTCGTCACAGAAATTTCGCTCAGAAATGAAGGCCGTTTGAAGAAAAAGGAAGGGGATCTACGACGCAGAGGTGATGGAGGTACAAAAGAGGGTGGTGGCCCCGTGCTGGTGCAGCTGTTTTACTAGCTACTGTTGCTACTGCTGTTGTTGTTTTCTTTTCTATTCTTGGCTTTGCAGCTGTTGTCGTTGTTGCAATGACACGGAGCTGCCGCCAGTTGGCTTCTTAGGTTGCAATAATTCTCTAGCGCACGGTAAATGACGTATCCTGTGTGGTTCTTTGTGCAATAAATACAAGTCAGCTTGTCGATAGCGGTCGGCACAATCATACAAACACTTTCTCTATCGTTCCGCGACAAATAGCAGTAGCAGTCAGACGGATGATTAGTAATCCAGTTGGCGAGAAAAATTATTCCGTCACGCACTTCACAGAGGCATGAAGAAAGAACAATACACTTGACACTTTTGAGACATCAACGATGGCAAAGTCGGGGAGCGACAGAGAGCAACTCACACTGTTACAAGAATCAACTGAAATAGGACGACGACGACAACAACAAATAGGACGAGACGAAGATGAGACGACGGCAAGTTTGATTCCTTTGGTTATTATTTTTATAGGCAAAGCTAGTTACGGTAAAAGGGCCTAGTAGGGCTCGAATATATTTGTGTATTTATATACTAGGTGCTGAGAATGATCGGCGTCATAGCACATACACACATGCACCCAATAATGTGAGGATGTATGCGATCCACTCACTATAGAGCACCTGGCAGTGATTCACCTGGCAGCAGTTGTTATGAGGTAACGGTAAGCATACCGTACAACGCGACAAACGGCAGCGCAAAATATCCGATTTTCTCGGTTTTTTTGTTGTACTTGATGTTGCTGTTGTTATTATGGCTGCGGCCTAGCTGCTGAGGAACTGTAACGGAGCTCTTGCGATTGTTGACCCAATCGAAGTTCCCCAACACTGAGCCCTAAACTAGATAGCGAGAACGTGACGGCCAGAACCGATTAGCAAGACAAAACTAAAAGGCACCACGAACAGGACACTTGGGTCAAAAACTTTGGCCAGTGGTAAAGTGGCGCTTATCTCTTTCGCCAATAGGATAATAGGACGCCCACAAAGACAGCGTCACGCTGGCTGTTGCTCACGTTGACGGCAAGCCTACACCGGTAGGCTAGAAGAGATCAAGCGAGAGGGGCCATTTTACAAGATTCCAGCACTAACCTGCTGGGCGCCTCGGGCAACGTCTCCTGAGGCCGTTCACACACACACACTGGGACGACAACGTCCACAACAGGATACCCTCACTCAGCCCCGAAGAAAAGGAAAAACATCGATTGTCACGAGTAGAAACAGAGGGCGACGGAGAAGCGAAAAGCGTCAGCGTGCCGTAAAGGTCAGTCAGTAGTTGCTCGCTTCTTCGGTCTGCTGATTTGGCAAGCTCACAGTTACGTGACAATTATCCGATGAGCGAATCTCTCTCTGGTCTTCTCTAATCAGGTCTTTTGTGTCGTTTCCACCTGTTTAGGTTATTAGGCGATTGTTCGGCTGCCGTCGTTTCGCCTCAGCAGAAAAATAGGTTGGCCGTTTCGAGCTGACACAATCAGGCCAAGTAGTTTAATCAGTCAAAATTAATTTGTTGAATTCGACGAGAAGGCCATAGTTGATTCGAATTTTCGAGTTACTATTAGTGTTGATTGTTGCTCGTTTTAACACTTAAGAATTCCTTTTCCTTATTGCGTTTCACGTTGATCGATGACTGTATAAGGATGTCCTTATTTTAGAATTGCTGTCCTGGTTTTAATTTGTAAGGGCGGTTTATCACTGCATTGTATTTTTGTTATCCTGTGTTTATTGGTATTACTGCTGCTTCCTTTTTGTGTCTATTTTATACAAATGTAGTTACTGTTATTCTTTATGATCATTATTATTACTATGTGGAGCGGTAGCAGCAGTAGTGGTGATCTATATAGGCGCCGTCTAACGATGGGTGGAAAGAACCAAGGGAAACGGTAACTAAACGCGGGCGCCTATGCCGTAATGAAATCAGTGCATGTCGCTTAAGCCCTGGCCGTGGGCCACCGGAGAAGACGAATTTCTGGAGTTACTCAGGCCACCTCACCTCACTTTACCAGCACCCCACAGGTACCACACCACTGCTACTGACGATGACTGATGCCGCTGGTGATTCCGATGTCGATGAGAATGATAGTGACTATATTTACTGTAGTTCCGTTCCTGTTGTTGTGCCTATCGCGGGTCCTGTTAACGCTGTTGATGCTGATTGTGTTGATATCGTCGTCGACGGTGCTCCGGCTCTCGTTCCCGTTGCTGGCCGATTTTCTCAGGCCCTGCCGCCGTTTCTGGTGCCTGCTGGACTGCTTAGGCTGATGCATGCGCGCCCGCCAACTGCGTTGTTCCACAATACCACCAGCAGCAGCAACGGCAGCACAACGCTTGCTCCCTCTCCTCCAAGAACCAGACGAGGCTGGGCCAGACCGGCCGGGGGGGGGGGGCGAGGGGAAGAGGGCAGCGGCGAGGAGACGGACGAATGGGGGACGGAGAGGAGATCAGATCGTCGTTCAGTCGATGGCAGCTTTAACCAATTGTCGGTACGTCCCTACGAACAATTGTAACTACTGGGCAGATTTTGTCGGCTCGTAATTTGTCGCCGTACTGGCCGCTGCCGTCGTTATGGTAGTCGTCGTACGTCCTCGTTTGCACCCGATGTGTATTTTTTTACATAACATAAAACGAACTGCACTGAACCTAAAATCCTGATATTTATGCTACTGCCCGCGTTTGCGACTCTTGCAAGCAAGATAATGAACCTAGTTGACAGCAAAAAATATTCCAAAATTCACACACGTATATGGAAGCGTTCATGCCCACAGTCAGCGACTATAGTTATCTTCTATTCGTTTTTGGCGTTGTCGTCGTCATCGGCAGTGGACGTAGCAAACCCTCGCCTTTTTTTTCACACACAGAATCGAATGTCACTGACAAACACATGCGTTCGTTGCCTAACCTCCCTTTCACAACGGTTGGACAAAACGTTGGGTCGCTTAAAAATCGTGGGTATGCATGAGGTTTAAGGTTTTCTCACTAGCTCCTCTTTTTTCTCGCACACTTGCTCCCTGTCGCGTTATCAATATGCACTCAACAACGTATAATCCATGTTGACGAGATGGTGGCAAAGACGAAAAACAAACAACAACAACAACCTTTAGCAGCACAATTGAAATGACGGTACCTAGCTAGCATGTAGCGCTTAGCTTTTTAGCTGTATCCTTCCTGTTGCTTGTACACCTCAAACACACACTCTGCGACAAACAACGGCGTACTGATGGGCGACTGAAGCAGAGTGATATCATCTGCTGCTGCCGCTGCGACTATTTACTGCTGCACAGAGCTCATCTGTAGCTCACCCGATCACGGCTTAGCCGCAGTTGTCGCTGTTCTGTTGTGAAAGGGCGAGATGCCCGTGAGAGCGGGAAGAGAACTTGCCGCGCTCCTTGTCCCTCTCCCTCCGCGAGCCCCGCGCGACAGGCTGGTGGCGCCCGCTGGTGGGTGCTTGCGCCAGCATTAGCTTGGGTCCCATGGACCCGATAGCTTGCTGCTGCTGCTGCTGCTGCTAGTCTGCTCTTTATTTTTTTTCTGGTTCCTTCCCCGTCTTCCGTTTGTCCGTCCAGCCAGTGACTGGTCGACCAACTAACTAGTCGAGAGAGGCAGCCAGCCAGCCGACTGACCGACACTACGATGACGATCGTCAGGGCCTTCCGGAAGATGGAGCAGAGAGGAGGAGTGTTAAGAGCAGGACGGTGCAGCAGACGGAGATCGAGCTGCGACAGTGCGCACCCCGGCGAACGTATATCGCAGTAGTGGAGAAGAGACACGGGCAAAGTAACGAGTCCTTGTTTGCGCGCGGGGAACCCCAGTGAATCCGGAGGATACGGTAATAGGGAGTTGGTCTTACTAAGATGTTACATTCTCTTCGAAGAGGAAGAGGAAGCTTCCAACTGCCAAGACCGCCTGCAGACCCATCTCTCATGCCCTTTATTCACACCTGCTCCTATCTCTACAATAGATATAGTCAGGTGCTAGCTAGTTACTCGCTCCGTAGACAGAATGGTTCACCCGCAATCGCCATGTAACGACAACACTAGCTACAAGCATAAAACAAGGCATTACAGCCCGATAGCTCCCGTGATCCATATATGGGAGATGGCAAACAATTTGACAACCTAAACCCTGCCACGACAAGGGGGTGTGTACCCCTATTGGATGCTTATGCCGCAGTTTTTACTATGTCTTTTTTTCACTGCTTTCCAATTAGCATTCATCGTCATATCAAGTTAATAGAAGCTTACAATAAAGCCAATGAGATTTTTGAAATCCAATGGGATTGGTTACTCTTTGTTCAACGGTCTTTACTAAAGCCGGTCTGAACTTTACTAAAGCACGTACATCATTTGTTCAACGAATGCACACCTCATAAATGGCCAGTTTACGATTGAATAACTTCATCTTCGTACTCAAACCGAGCTCATAATTTAAGATTGTGATTTTCTGTAGAAACAATTAGCCGTAAGCTACAAAAAGCGTATGCAATCTTTTGAGAAAAAATTTCCTGGGAGATCCTTTTGTTCCCACGGAAGTAACAATAGTCGACGGCTAGCATGTAACATATAATATGCAACACGTACCGTAATTCGAAATCCATCGCACCTTGCTTTTGAAAAAAATGGTTTTATTTATGACAGGGTTCATATTCGTGTATGCTTTACTGCTTTTCGAACTGCGCTACTACACTTTACACAGTATATTGATTGCTAGGGAACACCGGAGCAAAAAACGGAACCATATATTTCTACGGCTACAACGTCTTAATGTGATGTTATAATGCAGGCTCTAATTTCTAATCTATCGGTTGCAGTTCATACATGTTACCCATACATGTTCATACATGTTATTTCTTAATTACTAATGAATTGGCAACTTCAAAAAAAGTTTCGGAAAATATACAGATTATGCTAAGTAATAATAATATCGTCAAGACTATTAAATTAATGCACATATTAAACAAGCGGCGAACTCTTTAATAAATTACAAAAGGTACAAATTTAATAATAATAATAATAATAAACTGAATAAAAATAACCTAACAACCAAAGTCTCGTATTATAGGTAACTATTTATCATATAAGATTACAGTGAAGTGAACGATGTTCTAACTAGTTGTCAGTGGTTGAAAATAATGCGCCGATTACATGCCTAAAGATAGCGTGGAGGGTTGCGCTGAAAGCATGATCTTGTTGTCCGATAAGTTAGCATTTTCTTTCCTATGGCAAATCAGTAAAAAGCATTTATTTTTGTTTACTATTTACCGACTGTATAATAACACAAAAAAAAAATTGAGAAAAGCCTGTGTGTTTTTGGACTGGAGCAAATCTAGAATCTTATGCCTTTGAGCGCGTCAGTTACTAGAGCTATTCAAAAAAATCTATCTACATTGTTCGTTGCAGTAATGGGAACTTATTCCTTCAATAAGTTATTGTTTGTTTTTAACTATGTAGTGTTAGGGAATGGTTTATTCTTAGTTAGACAACAAAATTGTTATTAAATGACTGATACTTCTGGCAGTTGATTTGTTTTTGCTGTACATTGACGTTTTTACAAACACATATTTGTATCGATTTCTCTAGAATATTGTTTATCTGGCGACAGCTTGTTGGATTACTGTTTAAAAAATGAGGTTAGCAAAAACTTTTAAAGAGACTAAAAAATTTTTGGTTTCTGTCGAAATTGAACAAAGATTATTATGTAATTATCGAAACAGGGCTGTAACACATCGCTTAAAACCTGCTCTATATATAAACAATGCTCTAGGGGTTGGAAGGCGAGTTTGAATCCAGTATTTGCTCTATTCCAAATGTAGACGGCCAAAAAGACAACAGCAGTGCCTTTATAATCTTGTCCTAACGTGCTCATGGTAGTCATGAGGCATCGCAGTGTTCTTTGTTTTTTTATACGGGCACAACTGGTTAGAAAAAGCGTACTTTTACACCGTGAGTATATCGAGAATATTTTTTTTTTCGTTTTATCTTCAAAACGGTGAGGCTTAGGGGTGGAGATGCATATATAGACGATTGCGGGATCATTTAGGATACTTGAAGACAGGACACTGATTTATGTCAGTTGGACTCAGTTTACTTAATCGACTTTGTTTTTAATGAAATGAAAACGTGTTTTCATATCTGTTTCTGTAATGTTGACATTTTTTACGTCGAATTTTAGGTTATTTATGCGTTCGCTGTTGCTTAGCTTAGCACCATAGCTAAGTAGTAATTCCTACGCTTTGTTACAGATTTTTTCTACAAATTGAACGGATGGTTGTATGCAACTGGCTTGGTAAGTATCACCAATAGCAGTGCACAAGTAGATTTAGCAAGGGACGTTCAAAAATGTCTATATTCGGTATCTCGCTAACGAACTTTTACTACATTGCGTCAGCAGATCAACTCTGATCATATATATGCCTGTATCTAGTTCTTAGTGTGACTTTTTTAAAAAGACCGTAATCCATTACAAATGGCAATTTGCATGCATCCAAGCTCAAACTACAACAGTGTATAAGTTACCGTGACTAGGTGATTACAGAGCGTACATACTCTTACTGAGCACTTAATCGTATTATATAACACTGGGTCACAGTAGCAGGTCAAGCGCAAGCAATAAGTCAGGTTAGCTTTCTATTCGATACTTTTGAGCCAGTTGGCTAAATAAGTCTGAAGCAGAGTTGATTGTATCCTCCTTCTTCCTGAACTAAGCTTGCGCTACACATTCAGCACAGATATTCCCACATAGGTTGTTGTGATGACAGTAATTCACAACCACTTGAACGACTCAAGGCCGAAATATCTAGGTTCACCTTTAATGTCTGCATCTCTAGTTATTGATACTTGAAAAGTGCATTGAGGCGCTACATTGTTAATGACTGCATCTGACGTGGACTTTTCACACAAGCTCCGCTTGAGGTTTATGTACAGATCCTTTCGTCTTCAGCGAATAGCGTTTCCTCAGCGAATAATTGTTTCCGTTTACTTCGACATAAAGTACTTTTGGCGTCATCAGTAGAGAACATTCCTCACCTTTTTGTTATCCAAGAATACGTCCTTCTAGGTTATTATAGCAGTACTGAAGTCTTGGTTTGCGAGATTGAAGCTTAGTATCTTTGGCTTAGAATACTTGGAACACTATTAAATAGGAGTGATCGTCTTCAATCTACGCACGACGTTTTCACGCAGATACTTCAATAATGTTCTTCGAATTTGAATTTTATTAATGAATTTTATGATAAACGACAGCTTTGGCACGACTTGTGCTCACCAGGCAACGAACGATCTGAAATTCGCCAATGCATTCATCTGAAATAATATTTCAGATGAATGCATTGATTAAAGTTGATCTACGAAGCTCGAGAACAGAAGAAAAAAGGATTGCAGGATCTTTCTCCATTATCAGGACGATTATCGAAATTGTTGCATTAAACTATTTAGATATTATGACATTTTTATTCAGTGGAGCACACATAGTTTCATTTAATTGCTCTTGACCTATTCTGGTAATAAGGGATTCAGACAATGAAGGAGTTGCCGAAAATGCAAATACCCGTATCTTAAGTATTATTTCGATGAAATCTTGCACTTTTAATGAAAGATGGAAAGAGAAAGCGTTTAATTTTGGACTATTTATCTACCTGCGCGATGCATGATATGACCTGATCTCAATACAAACCTTACCGATCCTTCTTGCATATCTACCCCGGTAGAAAATAAAAGCATTGCTTTTATAATTAAGCTTAGATTTTCGATAGCTTAAGGCTTCATGGCGACGTGATAAAATTTAAATATGTAGATTCAGAAAAAAAAATTGCGTTAAACTTCGACTAAGATCTAATTAAGAAAACATTTAAAAACTTTAATAGATCCTGACATCTCACGTGGGTCAATGCATTTCTGTCAATTTTATTCATCTAACTAATACAGGCAGTCTTCTATACTGAACTGTGACTACTGTCAGATCGCTGACAAGTTAACTGGGCTACAGAGTAAGTTCTGCATCAACAAGCCTCCCAACATTGGGGGGAAATCCCTTGAGATAAACAGTCAGAAAAAACTAATGTTAAACTAGGTGTTCATTCACGAGGCCGTAAATGCAAGATCAGAGAGGCGAGAAATGGTTAATAAGCGCATAATTCCCATTGAACAGAAAATTTAAAACGCTGGCACAGAATCATGCTTGCGCCATCGCCACTCAGCTTCTGCAATCGCTGCCACAGATAAGAACTCCACTAGACGTTATTATTATTATCATCAGAATGTTACAGCAGCGTAACTCTCGTAAATGGCTAATCTAGATTTGGGTGCTGTCAGAAGTGAATAACACGGTCGGAAAAAAAATAGTGCATGTAAAAAGAGCAAATGCCAATTCAGATTCTCCCCTAAGTCGAGAGCTAAGCGTTGGATGAAGTGGGATGGGAAAACTTGCCAACAGGCTGGACTCTCCTTCACGTTCGAGTGCCTCTGGGTCGCATCGCTTCGTTAATTGGGCTTTTCAACGTGAAAGCTGCTGTGCGACTCGACCGTTTTCGAACTACCAGCGGCCCAATAGACGGTTCTCCCCTGGCAAAACGTAATCGTATTTCGACCGGACATGTGAAACTGTGCTAACTGAACTCTTTACCTCAGATCATATCAAATAATACTGCTTAACCATTTTGCTCATCTAGAAGCATGTAAGTTATACAGGAAGTTTAGCATTATTTTACGGGTGCAATAGTTGTTATAAATTTTGCGATCACCAATGCAAGACCATCATTTCTGATTGTCAGAAATCTAAACTCCATAGCCAGACAAAATGTCCGATGTTCTAACAATAGTCGTATAGGTAATATACGTGTACATATTGTCAAGCATCTTTTTTATGTTAAAGCCAAAACAGTTATAGAAGGTGCGTTCAAGAGCAGGCCAAAATGTGTTAGGCAAAAAGAAGGAGACACAAACTCTTGTGAAAGGCGGATTTGCACGTGGGCGTGAGCTATGTTTGTAACTCTTTAGACACCTTCCGGAAGGCGAACTGCGGAAAACAACAATGAAGATACACATGTAAGAGTATGAAACAGACACACGGATATTGACCACGTCCAGTTAGCCTTGCTGTTCCACAAATAGCAAAGGCGGACCTTTAGCTTGAATAGAACAGTCAAACGTACCTTAAACAGACAAAAATCTTCGAAAACCTTTCTTTTTTTTTAAATACTTAATGAATTAAGGCATTCACTTAATTTTGGAAAACTGGTCATCCTTAAAATAGAGGAATAGCTTTGAGAAAAAATACTTCTAAATCAAACCTTGTATAAAATTTGAAAGATCACATTGGTCTGAAATTAACGACGTGTCGACTAATCCCTATATATATATATACATATATATACATATATATATATATATATAGTGAAAAAATGAACATCCAAAGATTTGTAATGATCTCAATTCTAGCCAGGTAAACGTTACCTGAAAAGAACAAAAAAAAAAAAGGCGCGTTATGACAGCCAGGACGTCAAAGGAAGCCCGCCCTACGTCTATTTGACGGCTATTATTGTTTAATCTGTTTCAAAGTGATGTACAGAAACTGAGCGAGGACAAGTCGCGCCGCTTGGCCACTTTTACCATTCAGCTTTTCCGCTTCCCCTTATGCAAAATGTATATGTCTCTTTGTAGGAGAAATAAGCGGCGATTTCGTTAGCATACGTTCTTTGATAGTAAAAAAAAACGGCCCCTCTAATTACGTATAGGCATTTTCATATCCACTTACATTATTTATTTATTATTTATTATGTTCTTATCCCATAGGTTTGACATCTGAACTCATATATTCATGTGTGCTGGTTTTAGATAGCTAAAGGGCACCTCAGTAATCTGCTGATCAGCAACACACAAGGTTTTCACCCAATTAACGCGCCAGGCAATTACGTATGCTCCGGTACATATTACATTTTCAACTTCGTTGTAGGTTACCTACTTATATTGATTGTCACGGGTAATAGCGCATTGCAAGATAACATTTCAAGTAACAAGGTTAGCGAAAAGCCGCTCAACTAAGCAAAGGAAGGGGCAGTTATGTAGTGCAATTAGAGTAGCCTTCCACGTAAGAAGTAAAGCTTTAGATACTATTATATAGAAGGTATCTGCCCATATCGGTCAAATATCAGGGGACAGAGACATGACAGTCATCTGGCAGAAAGTCGGTACTGACGAGTTAGTTTCAGAAAGCACTCGTCGTAGTTAACATAAACGGTAATGATATGAAGATGGTTTGCATTGTATTAATTGATTGATTCGTTGAGAGATACGCGCAGTCGAAGATAAATCGAATTAATTAAGTATATATATGATTCAAAACTAGAAAGGAGCAATCCAATGGATTTTTGCAATCTAGATATTCCGGGTTTTAATTTGCAAAGAGAACGAGCGGGTATGTAGTCTGTCTGTTTTTAAACACGCAGTGAACAGCAAGTAAGATCGAAATCTAAGGCGCTGAGTTTAGGTTTCAATGCTGTTAAAAGTGGGTAACTTCGATTTTGTATGATCTACAGGCTAGCCTCAACGTGTGAATGTAAAATTAGTTTAACCTATTCACGAGGGAGCAAGTCTTGCAAACGAAACTTTGCATAATCGTTATTGTCCGATATAATAAGTGTTGTTCAAAACCAAGGAAGATTAACAGCTTATGTATTACGAGATGAACTAGAACCTATGTGAGTTAAAACGGCTTCAAGAAAGACACATATGGAGAAGTTGTCAATCCAAAAATTGACCCTGGAAACACTACGCTGTCTGAAATATATCTTACTTTCGAAAAAAGGTTTGCTAAATAATTTTAGATCTACTTGCTCTTCTCGAATACAGTCGATGCGTGCCTATATGGAACGGATGTTAAACTCCGACATTCCATGAATCCATTCAGTGGGTGATTTTTTTGCAATTAAATTTCGTTTATTTTAATTATAAATCATCCCTAGTTGAAAAGCAAGCATTTTTCTAAAGACTTTTTGAAGTCAGGCCTGATCTCGATATCTTTTCGATTGTCTCAAAATCGAGCACACCTCTTGTAAGCTGCGCTTTGTCCGTCGTTAACTTCTCCTTTTGCTGTGTCTGCCATAGTTTAGATACACATGATAATTTTCGTTTTCAAGGCAAACATTATATACAGATTCGTTAGTCCTCCATATTGTTTGGCGTTACAGCATTGAAACATCATTATGCAAACGTACAATTGTATGGGCCGGGAATTTGGAGTCGATTGTGTATTTTAGGTGTTGGCCGATTGCTTGATTACATGTAAAATTTTCTGGTTCCCTAGCATGCATGACGAACGAAGCCAAACAACTGAGGTTTTTAGAGGTGTTTCAGGGATTCAAAACGAAGTTTTACTTCTGTGCTGGCACAACCATATCGTATAGCATGGCTTAGAAAGGAACTAACTGGAAGCGATGTAGTTATTTTGTTGTCTTCCACTTCAGCATTAGCGGCATAGCGCTGATTCGAGAGAACAGCTAGAATGGATGATGTTGTCTTCTGTGTCGGGTAGTTTCGGTTTCACTCGCACCTTGCAAACAGGGAGACTATCAAACGTAAACAAACACAGACGAGCATGAAAATTGAACGCGGCCTCCACGCAGTTCAAGGTAAAACACGAAAGCTAGCGGGATTCGCCACTGCCCCTCTATTGTATTCACTTGTCAAAGGTAAAACTTAATCGTTAAAAATTGTTTAAACGACAGCAACGGACATTACACACAGCACTTCCGGTAATGAGTGTATATGATATAACTAGGGAGAAATCCATAATGAACAATCATACACAGGTGTTGATAATAAACTATTTGATCCTATTGGATGGCGAAGTGTGGGGGGTTTTATTGAATGGTGTTTTCTAACTACACTAACGTGAACGAGTTCTAAAGTAGTTCAAAAAATGATTTCTCAGTCTACGTAGTGTATTAATGCACACAACGTAATCCCAATGACAATTATGAAGATTTAAAATCAGAAAATATGGTACATCTTCCATTGGTCGATTATCATCTTCAATTGTATTCCAAAAGGTGTTTTTGTTTTAATTTCAAAGCCGTCATTATATGTATGCTTTCTAAGGTGGTTCGATAATTATAGCTTCAGTATGCTTTTGGATCAGTAAGTTCCTCATAATAGGTTCAGAGATGGAAATAAACTAGCATGATAGTAGTGGATAAGTCCCAGATGCCTTTAAGTTGTTTGGCCAGGATAAAAGTTCATTTGTATACTAGCACGTCCAGAATAACAAAAGTATACAATATCAGCAACCTTGTACCGTTCCCAAATAGCCTGCGTTAAATATATTAAGTTACACTGAGTACTGAGTGAGTACTCAGATGATGGAATTAAATATCGCGCGTGGCGTGTCGAAGGTGTTTAACTTAAACTACCCTGGTACCTTACAAAAGCTACGGAAGTGGGTAGTAAAACAAAAAATGTGTCGCCATGTGTTGCTTCAGAAATACTATAAACTTGTATATTTGCTCCTTGAAGACTTGCTCACATGAGCGAGAAACTCTGATAAGCGTAATATTTTATTCAAAAACTGTGGTAGAGGCAAGGTTTTCAAAAATACAGTGTTCTGTGTTCTAATAAAGGGATTCGTGCATTAGAAATCACAATACAACTTCGGCGTATTACATTGAGTTCTTTTTTTAGAATAAACGTATTGCGTCAAACTTTAAAAACCCATTTTTAATCTGGCATTGTTTTCTTTTTAGCATTCTTTTTAAATTAAACAATGAAAGAATTAAGTTGTATGTTGATTTTATTCACTTCTTCCTTCAGGTGCTATTCCCACCGGGCTGCCAGACGTTGCAAAGTGGTTCGATCTTCGTTTTGTACTTAAGGTAAAACATGCAAAACCCATTTTTGCATGGATGTCTCCTACTTGGATCACAACTTACATCTAGTGGTACACGTTGCAGTCTTCTTTAGTTTAATCGTCACTGTCATAATCTGTGTACAAAATTTCAGTACTGGTATGCACTGTACCTCTCCGGTCGAATGATTCGCTCCGGATGAAGATGTGTCGCCAAATACCCTAATTTTTTTGGTTTCTTTGCTTGGAAGGTTTTGTATGCGCAAGATAAAATGCCTCCCAAAAGGTCGTCACCGAAGAAGCTTCCAGCAAGACAAAATCTAAATAACTTCATGCATCATCGCAACGTTTATTTTAACAACCCCCCAGACTTTTCTCGGCTGGCGCTCGAATTCGAAGAGTTCCGCAAAATTTCGACTGTTGGTCTAAATGGTAAAGTGTCTGTCGACTTCTCCCAACCGGCTACAATGCGGATACTTTCCAGATGCTTGCTCAAAAGTGATTTTGACCTTGACGTCTATATTCCACAAGGCTTTCTGGCTCCTACTGTTCCTCAGCGGTTGAACTATCTTCTATGGTGTGAAGACATTGTTTCATTAGCGTTAGGGAAAACCCACTCTGTGCGGGCCGTTGATTTTGGAACCGGCTCAAGTTGTGTACTCCCATTGCTTGGAGTCCGGCAGTGTTCTTGGAGGTTTACGGCAGTCGAAGCGAATTTAGACGCATTCAATTTTGCAAAGGACAACATTGAACGAAATCAACTTAAAGACTTCATTTCATTAATCAAAACCTCTGAAGGTAAAATTCACTTTGACGAGTTTCTCCAGGAGAACGACACATTTGATATTCTACTATGCAATCCTCCGTTCTATAAAGATTCTTGGGAATCAGACGCGTTTTCAAAGGCTGACGTACAAGGACGACCGCTACCAAAGAGTGACTGCGATGGAACTGAGGATGAAAAAATAACAACTGGAGGCGAATTTCAATTTGTAATGAGCATTTTTGAGCAAAGTCTGCTTCACAAGGAACACATTCGAGTGGTGACGGCGATGCTTGGTAAAAAAAAAGACCTGAAGCAAATGACAAAGTTTCTTCAGGACAGAAATGTTCAATATACGACAACTGAATTTTGCCAAGGTAAAACGATGCGATGGGGGCTTGCATGGTCTCATTCGGAAGATGTCAAGCTCGCGCTTACTCCACAAATGAAACACGTGACCCCTAAACCACCAATGGTTTTTGATTTGCCAAAATTTATTCCTGGTGTTAAGTATACAACGGAAGCTGTCTGTACAAGGCTGAAGGAGCTTCTGGCCAACGTGCAAGTAAAATTCATTCCTATCACGGAAGGAAAACATAATTGCCATCTCTGGGTTCTGGCAGAGAAGAACACACTCGCTGGTCAGAGACGACGTAGAAGGGAAAGAGAGCGGAAATCTTCTCGTAATGCTATCGTTTCGAAAGTACCAAGTGAGCTTCTTCACGAAGCTGCAAAGGCTGTGAAAATAAAAAGTACTGAAATGATAGTATGTGAAACAAGCCACTTCCAAAGGAGTAAAAGGACGCGATCCTCCGACGAGGAAGCGGTGGAAGACAATGACGATGATTTGCCTTCAATCGGAAGCTCTCCAATGGATTGCAAGAGTTTAGAAAATGGCGAAGCACCATCAAAGCGCAGCTTTGTTTACAGAGATGACATTTCAGAATATTTTCTCAACTGTGACGTACGTGTAAGACGTACAGCCTCTGGCCTTATAATACAGTTGCAAAACAGAGATCCTCGACAAGACCGGGACTCTTTATGCCAGCTGCAGCAGTATCTTAAGAATAATTTATGTTCACAGCCAAAGGAGCTTGCTCTCACCCTTAAAATGGTTGTATGAATTGTACAAAGTTCAAGTTTACTTCAATTATTTCGTGTAATTATATGAAGCTAACAATAATTACGGCATTTGAGGTCACAATCGGTATTATTCATTTTTGCCAAACTAGAACTGTGTTTTTCCAAACTGATCATTCCTATATTGTAATGTTGTATCATAATCGAATATGATCGGGTTTTCTTGGAGAGCTAATGTATTAGCATATGCGCTCAGATAGACGCAATGAAGAAATGCAAAATTAAAAAAAGGTTTGTTAGTGTTTAGTTAATATTTAACTAATGTAGACAAGCCTCAGTCTGTGTAGTTGAGCAACTCACGCCGGTGTTGAATAAATAAGTCTAAAGATGAGCAAATTTACAGACTTGACAATAAACAAACTTGCGTAATGATAAATGTGTAAATAATTGCAAATTTAATAAAGTTGTACGTTATTCTTTGTGGTCTTGGTGATCTTTTACTTTAGAATTTGAAGCTAGCTTGTCATCACTACAGCAATCAGCATTTTTCTAAAAATTTGCAAAGATGCAGTCTGTACTTTCACGAGCGTTATTGTAAGAACTATTCCTCAAGATACATAAGTCTTCGTCTCCACAGAAATCTAAGTTAAATTTGCTACGAGTTGCTTTTTCTACCGAATACAACTATAATGACAAATATTAGCAAAGCATATGTCTTCAGCTAGCGTGTGCTATCCTAGCTGAGAACACATTGTTTATATATTCAATTCTTGCTACCCTTGACTGGCCTCACGGTAAGAGTGTTTATGATGTTATTTGTCGAATTTTAAAAGTTCTATTAAGTAAGCCTAACAAATTGTATCCGACGGTCTATTAAAAAAGTAATTGGCTGATGAAAGCTATGCTCTAATAGTTTACAACGAACAGGTGTGGTACGTTTGATTTAAGTCAGGTATTCGGATAACGTTCTTTGCATGGATTCAATACTTTTCAGTTCAGCGCTTCCAATATATATCCACATAATTGTAACCGTATTAACTAATAGTAGATCAAAAGTCAAAGATAGAAGGGTAAAGAAATAAGTACAGAAAAGGCAAGAAAGCACGGAAAGTCTAAAAAAATTAAGCGCTGTGGTTTGTATGGACAATCCGACTATAAAAAATAAGCCTTTACCAAAGACAGCCACTCGTTTCTGAATCTACTTCTATAACAATAACGTTTTAAAGCATTTTGTGCAATAACGATTGTGATCATGCCACTTCGCGCCATAGAATTCTGGCTCGGATTTTTCTAGGAAAAAAATCGTAGCATTCATATATACACACATTCAGGACACGGCACCTGAACTGGGTCGTAACGGGCATGCAGAGCTATTATCCAATCTCTTCGCACTGAACGAACCCCTAGCAAAAGCGGAGAGGTTTGCAGAAAGTAGCAGTACAAGACAGTACCGCATCTTCTACGTGCAAGCTTCTTTTGGTTTGCCTCATTGAACTCTTCTTCAGGTGCTTGATAAGCTGCATGAAAATTGTAAATGACCCAGACCGTCAACTTAGGGGCAAACAAGAAGAATCTTGATAGGTTTTTAAGGGTCTAAATCAAAATGACTCAAAAAGCCGTTTATGATAACCTGCATTTTTTATACAGACATTAATAGCCATTTTAGAGGAAAATTTAATTGCCACTGGCTCGTTCAGGTAAGTTCCAAGGGATAGTTTTTTTCGCTTTTGCACTTTTTTCCACATTTTGTACCTTCCATCTTTTTAAGGCTGTGCATTCGTGGAACTTTTGGAACCTATAAAGGTCCATTTGTTTGAAGATAGAAAAAATTGTTTGGAGAATTATGCGAAACGCTGCACTCTATGACAAAGTGTAATATGGGTAGTAAGAAAGACACTTTTCTCAGCAGCCGAAGATAAAACTGCCGCAGTTTAGGCCATTACCACATATTATGGGTACCGACGGCCATTCAATCCAGGTTTGTGATGATTTTGTTTTTTTGTTGAAAAAGATAGTCTTGAGTAATTCATTCAGAACATCTGAGATACCAGACGTAGCATACAATAATATACTTTAAATTTATTGCGACCTTAATTTGTCTAAAGCACTAATACATATTTGTCCAGCATCAGCATTGAGCAGCTTGGCATTTCTGTCTCCGTTTAATCTCTGCTGAGTACAAGTAGTTCTCCCGTTGACGAGATTTTCGCTGGAAACAAAAACACTTATTATGTTAGACGCGAAAATGACTATTATGTTATACCAAAATATAGTACACAACAGGTCGAGCAAAGCGAGCCTTGCAAATAAAACCAATATGTCCAATTTCTGTCAGCGTGTAAAATAGCCATATAAATAGGACACGATTGTATTGTAACCAAATTGATCTAAAATGCACCTTATTACTTGGCACGACTTTTGTGCATTTTTTCCCATACAAATTCTGAGTTATCTGAATATTCGTGCATAAATGCAGATGTACCTCAGCGTTGTAAATTCGTCTCATCTTTGGGTTTCGTTTAAATTGGACATCTAGCGCGTACTTGATTATAAATTGGTTTTCCAAAAGCTAAAAAGTGATATAAAATAATAAATACTATAAGAATTAGGGGGGATTTCAGTTAACTGAAATTGGTTACCGTCATCAGACTCCGCGAGGGTTATCGATATCCCTGGTGCAAAATATCAAAAATAAAAAAAATATAATACAGTCCTGTATAGCTGTATAATGTAAACCTGCAGAGCATATATGCAGTTTGCTCGTTTGCCCTTTAGATCAAAAACGATGTATGTATGAAAGATAAATTCGCGTTATTAAACTCACCTCACCGCGAAGACACATTCGCATATCATCATATTCGCCATTGCAGAATCCAAAAAATTTTCCATATTTATACTGCAATATATATTATACACAAAAAGTACAACGTTTCCCGTAAATAAGCTAGAAACAACTCAATTCGTTCAGGGTATTAAACTCTTGAGATCGTTCATAGATTTTTTACGAATGTTATATAGTGAACGCCTTTTTGTAAGTGCTGTTATTATCACACAGACATTTTTATTATATCCACACTACCTTAGGGTAAATGAACTCAAAAGGATATTCTTATTAATACGAAAGCCTTCAGTTCTGGCACGATAGAAGCTACGCGTATAGTCGATAATGGAAAGATAGATATTATGAATATTTGACAGAATTTACCGCTTCGTAGCATTTGAATAACTTGTTAATGAGTTTGTTACACTCGTCTGTGTGCAAATGCGAACTAAGGTTTACATGCATATTCTCCTAAAAAGAACCAAAACTCGTGCGTGTCTATTGGCAAAAACGTTTTAAAATCAGAACAGCACAGATATTGCTTGACTTAGTCGAGAACGTTCGGTCTTTTTGTTTACAAATCAATTCTGAGGTCATTCGCGCATTCTAAAACGAAACCACTCGCAAACAAAGCTGTAGACACCGACTGCAAAATTGCCTATTGAGTTAAACTAATATTTCGTCTCACTTCAGTTGCTCATTGTATAATTATACAGAATCTTTGTGCATATACTAAATGAGGTAGTTTTTAACCGAGTATTAAACTACTTGAATCTTTTAAAGCTTTAAAAAATGGATGCCCTGTCGACACAGAACGTTAAGGCCCAATGCGATTTTTTGAAAGCGATTCTAGGAAAATACTGCAAATAGCTAATGGTAAATCAGAATCAATGCGTGTTTTGAAATATTTTTAATTAGAAATCCATATGAAACGCCAAAGTAGCGCAAAAAGTCCTCCTCAAAGAAAAAATCTATTTTTTCATACCCATGGAAAAAATCGTATTCAATCAAACCCAAGTAGAAGTTCCATTTGAACAGAAATCAGCCAGAAATCAGAAACAAGACAATATCAATAAGCATATAAAGGACGAATCAAACCCTCCTTAATTATAGTGACCTATGCAGATAATAGTTTCAAAAAATAATTATATATATAATAACCGCAAAAAATAGATGCGCTATGTCTAAGAGCCCTCCACCCAGAAAGGAGAAATTGTACCGATAAATTAAGACACAGTATTTTCTTTGAGAAAGATTCCAATGTCACGGACAACTGCCTAAAAATGAGAATACAGCAAGAAATGTGTCCCAAAACGGAACTTAATTTTTAAATCTCAGCTGTCTCTATTTCTCGTTTAAATTAAGTGGATAAGTCTAATAGCGAATCTAGAATTAACAATTTTGTGCTTTGTAAGTCATACTTACGCACTTACTGGCAGGCAAGTAAGGACGTTTTAAATAGTTATTTCATATGCGATTCACTACTCTCCAATGTTGTTTTTCTGAAATTCTACAGTCACGACTCGTATTGCCGTGTCATGTCGCCAGAGTAAAGCGATGCAATGACACCAATATGTTTAATCAACGTTCGTAAAATTACGTATCAACGGAGATTTTATAACATATGTTGCGTGTTAAAAGACTCCTGACAGGAATGATGCGTGCAAATCGACGTTTTTGGAAACTCTAGTACGCAAAGCACAGTAACCTACGTAGCGTCTTTAGAAAGTAAATTTCGAGGTCTAATTCCGTCGAATTTTTTGCATGGATTCTAGTTCACTCTCTAATCCCTAGAATATCAAAAATCCCTATACTGCTTTATAACAGAATCGCAATAGTCCTTTCGAAGTGTTAACAATAACTGCAATCTACTCCCGCAATGTTGTGGAAGAGCTTTAAATCTAAGTACATAAGGTACCTATAGGTACGATGATAATCCAAGGCAGCCAAAATACCTCAAAGTGGTGTATATTTAACATCATTTAGCGCATTCCAGAAGGCATTAAATTCTATTCCGAGTTTTGGCCTTTCCCAAGTGGCCAAAGACATTGGGGTTAGCAGTTTACTACCTCAATCCTATCTCACTCTTGGTAGACCTTGCCCAGCGGAAATTACTTACGACTTTTTCGTCAGAAAGGGGATAAGACGGACTGATTTTGTAATTTGGTAGATACAAATGGAGTAACGGGAAAAAAAACTAGGCAAATTACAGAAATATGTATGATTTTAAGGTAACTACAGTGATCCAATTAACGAACGATGATGAAAAAGAATTACAGGTCGGCGGCTAGCTCTTTGCGTTATGACTCAACCAGCCATATTATTCCAGCCACGAACAGACTTAAGTTCTCATTGTATTAAATGTTACATCCAGCTACTTCATCTTAGAAGCTGAAGCACTGATCTGGTAGTGTTACGCAGATGTTATAGCATATAGTAACTTAATTCCTATACGTCAACCAAATGTTGGTTAGACGTATTCATTATATATTACTGCTGTAACAAACAAAGGAAAAATTTGTTTTCGATTACCTTGTTCGGTAAGCAGTGTATGTAAAACACAAAAAAACGATAACACAACATGGCCCATCTTAGCAGAAGGGTGGGTAGAAAATACTTTCATCACAAACTATTTTCAGTTAGCATTTAGTTAGCTCTTAAATTAAATATTACAATAAATGGACTATTACAGAAAAGTTAAACTAATTAAACATTTCTATTACTAGCAAAATAATACTTACTAATATCAATTTTGTCAAGTATTGTTCACAATAAAAAACATTTTCATTTTGGGACAGATAATAATTTATTAAAAAAATACCTTAGTGTATTCCTATTCTTTACATTTTTCATATACCAAACAGAGAACAAAATATGCACATTCGAACCAGAATGCAACTGACGTCGACAATTTGGTATTAACATACCTGATGTAAATCTGCGTGGTACTTAGCCTCGATTGCGCTATTCGTACCAAATGAGCACTTTTTACAAGGATAAACATAAAGACCCTTATGTTTTGAGCCTTTGAGGATATGGGCTCGCAAATTTTCGATTAACACGCATGAATAATCACAATATGGACATTGGTATGTTTTATCGCCTTTATGTAGTTTTAGGTGGCGCCACAACTGACCATGTCTTGTAAAAACAAGTTTGCACTTTGGACATTTATAGCGCTTATCATCAAAGTGGGTTCTTTTATGAAGTGCAAGATTCTTTCGGCTACCTCTATAATTGCAGTCGGAGCATGGTATTTTTTCTTCCGAATTCCCACAGACGTGTTCGCGGAGAGCCCTACCTGTTTGGTACTTGCGCTTGCAGCTTGAACAAGATAACCACTCTCTGATGGCAACATGCACCCTTTCCTTATGCTCACGGTAACCTTTTGTGGTGGTAAATATTGTTCCACAGCACGTATGGTGTTCTTTATGGGTCTTCAAATGTAGCCGCAGCTCTCTTTCCTCCGAAAATTTCTGTGGGCAGTGCGAACAACAAAGGCCATCGAGTTGTCGATGTTCCGCCATGTGAAGGTGAAGCCTTCGAAAATTGTGAAACCACCGGAAACATAATGAGCAACGATATTGAGCTTTTTTTATTGTTTCCTTTGTTTGTTGTGATTCACCCAGCAAAGGATTCGCGACTTCTTTATGCATTCTACTGCTCCTAGTTCGCTTCAGGAGATTTCCTATAATGAGCTCAGGTGGTTGGATTTCCATGGAGGGTTCGTATTGTTCTTGGATCATTTTAGCGTTACGAAGGCTGCGTTTTCTATGTAACGCCGACTCAAGATGTCGCTGATAGGTGTATTTGTCGCGGAAGATACGGCCGCAGGGTGCACATCCCATTTTCTCGAGTATATCCGGTAACCTGAAAATTTAAAAGCTATTACTGTAAATGCCGTCGATCGTGATAATATAACCTTTGTTGTGACAGACGCCGTCGCTTACCCGCCTGAAAATACCTCTAATGGCCTAGTATTAAAGCCATATACACTTTAACTACTCTCCGCAAGTAAGGGCCAAATATAGATGCTTCCTAAGGTTAATGCCGAAATTTAACTATTAGAGGTTTTAATTGGGCAATTCAGTCAATTGGTAGCGTATGGACATCGGCCTGGTTTATTCTATAATTAATGTTTTGAAGTTGGCAGAGCTAACAGTAGATTTTACCAATTTGTTGTGTTGGCAAAAAATTGTATTGCTTCAGTTAATAGTTTTTCAGTAAATGGCTTAGTTCTAAGACTTCAACGTGGAGTCGCTATACCAATTTTAGCTTGAAACCTAAAGTCCCCAGGGTAAACACCCTTTGTGTTTACAAGTTTCCAGCTGACTGATAAACATTGTGCAGTAAAATAATAACAATAATCATAACCTCTAGTTACTCGTTAGTATATCATCAGACATAAGCGTGAACACTGGTAATTATCTGGAAAGGTATAGTACTTAGTACCAAAGCATCATTAATTTTTCACTTTTTGTTTAAAGAGCTTCCCTTGGTTAGTGCAGCTTAAGGACTGAGGTAATCTCGAAACGGCTAGTAAAGTTAATCATCAAAAATTAAATCTCAAAACTTTTTGCATACCACACCTTTCTGGGCTATGATCTTGCAAGGTAACTCTATGAAAACTGAGTCCGTTCATAATTGACGGTCTACTACCGGGCCTCCATTTGCCTCCGGTGTGTCCTCGGGGAGGCCTAAGAGGATCCGTGTCATCCTCATCTTCATCGTTATCCTCATTATCTTCGTTCTCCGCAGCTTCATCGACATCGACTGGTTCAACAAGGGGAGTGATTCTTCCAAAAGGAAAAAGCCAATCGTAACGTTAATACACAGATATACATAAAGCATAGAAAAACAGCAATCAGAGATTGGTTACAGATTATTTTACTTGATGAGACACCACTACGATGGGTCTTCGCATGAAACAAAGCCCAAAGGAAATTTCACCTCACTAAGTATTTTAACAACGACAGATACGTATACAAGTCATTTTTAGGAGTACTATCAAAACCTTTTTAGTGGATAGTCCAGCATTTCAGTTAGACTTTTTAAAAGAACCAGACTCGTTTTACATAAATACGTCTCTATAGAATAAGAAAAGCAATGGTTAACGGCTACGCGTGACGTAAAATTTGAAGTAGCATTTTAAATGAGACTAATATTGCTCGTTGTGAGGTGGTAAGCAACGGAAGTATCATTATACGTAAATTACTAACTAATCATTGATCGTAATGGACGCGGCCTAAATTAGTGCGATTACCTCTGAAGGTCGAGGGACAAGAAGAAGTCTGGAAGCTCAGGAGCATCAGGCAAGAACGGAATGTCGAGGACGTCTCTGACTGGAACTATTGATGATGGCAAACCACTAGCAGTGTTGGCCGTGTTAGCAAGGGTTACAACTGAGGTCGAGGCAATTGAGCCTGTGGAGCCTAAACAGTCTTCTCGTCGGTGATCTAGATAGGCACCAATACCAACGATTGTCTCGTTGCAACGGATGCAGAGGTGAGTGTCTACTGACGCGTCGTTCATACTGAGTAGTTTAGTTCTAATTGGAATAAATTTATAACGTCGTTATGCCGCAGCATTCCTAGGAAAGTTAAGCACCCAAATATGTCTCAATCCATGTTACACTCGACCATGCATAATTTATGTGAGTACGACAAGTTATTTATCTCAGTTCAGGTTCGTCGCAATCATTATGTCCGCACTCTCAGGTTTACATTAGAAGCAGTCTATTTTAATTCTATATTTCTGCACTCTGGGTAAAGTACAGTTGGCTAGTTACTCTAGGGGCTCATAGAATCAATTTCATAGGTCAATATGCTCTATATTTCACGTTGCTAACCCAAAAATTACTCTATAATGCCTAATTCTATAAACTGTAAAGCTCAGAAGAGATAGAAACGATGTGGATTTTCTTTAGCTAACTGAAGTTCGATTAGCAACAAAACTCACTATTTGAATTCTGTCACTGTTTCAGTAGGCTACTTTCATTTACAGCTGCAACTTAAGAACAAGAGCGTGTACTCAAATGTACAAAAAGGACGTCGCATCAAAAATATTCTATAGCAAAGTGCTCCTCTGTCGACGGAATATAGGAACATACACTACAGATTCTACAATGATAAGTTGCAGATTAAGACACTTGAAAATTACTTTATAGATAAACAAGCAAAGGGCGCACGGAATCTGCTTCTGCACTTCACCGCAAGTTGGCATCATTATTATTCCAGCAACGAGTTTTTGCAAAGATTGCGGCAGTACAAATGAGGTAAAATGAACACTGATTGTCTTTAGTTAGTGGTATAAGTCTAATAAAAATAAACAACATATATGTGCGCGTCGAGTCACACCACACAAAGAAGCAAGCGTGATCGATTTTATATTATTTCAACTTCAAGTTATGGGCTATAGCAGAACAAAATTTTTATGGTGTCACCGTTGTTGTTGGTTAAACACATTGCCTCAGGTACCGCCAATAACATATTTTATACAATTTACTTGAAATAAGTTACTTAATCGAATAAGAAGGACAACTAAGAAAGATTACTAATAGAACTTGTTACGCTCATAATTAGATTCGCTGTCTAATCCCTTGCAAATAGTACTTTTATCGAAGTTCTATGTATAATTCGAAGAGCTAGATTTTGTCTCACCTTTTATTTCCACTAGGATTATTTTATTGTACGATTATTCTATTTGAGAACAGTATCATCCAGACCTGGCAAAGAAAGTTAATCTCCGTTGTAGAAGCTTCCGCCATGAGCATAAATGAATGGAGCTAAGGCACCTTTGATTTTTAAAAATTCCACTTTTCATTGCGATAAAATAAAAATAATAATAATGTATTACAAATACTATAAAAATAATGTATTACATACCTCTTATTTATTAGGTTCGGTGCAAATGTATATGAATGTGTAATAAACAGTCGGTGAACTAAGTTTCTAGCAATGGGCGCGATCGAACACCTCCCGATAAACAAAGCTAAACATAGCAACTTCCCGGCTAGTTCGCGCACAGCCATTTGTTTTTCGTGGAAATCTGGTTTATTATACCCTATTTTTTGTAAACACTTTGCAGCGTTTTTTTTATATAATTTGGTTGCACATACATATTCAAACTACGAAACAAGATTTTTCACGGGATATCATAATTACCATAAAAAGGCACAACACACGATGTATGTGATCCTTTGATAATACTGAAAATATGCGTCTCTTAAACCAATCATATCTAAGAAATTATGTGTATTGTATTTTTTCAGACGCAACATGGAGAATTCTGCCAAGGAACTTCTTGAGCCTAGTAAAGTTATCAAGGGTCTAAAATGGCTACGGCGATATGCGGTAGAAATGAAACATTATTCTTGCTTCAGTATATTCCAACATTATATCTTAGTAGTACCTTGACTTGGTTAAAAAATATTCATGGTTCGAGATAAATTGATATTAAAGCTATGGGCTTCGGGTTTCACTCTTTACATAGAGGAATAAATCTGAACAGCGTTGCAAAACGCTAAAGCCAAATTGACCTCAGCAAGACGAAAGCACAGGATTATTTTTTATAGAATTCTGTTCTAGAAAAAACATATATATCGTACAAAATAAAGCAATCATACAAATTCGTTTTGTCCCACTCTCTTTGTTCTCAGGTGACCTTACTGAGTCCAATTATCTCGGGAGGTTTGATATATGCAGACTGGAATCACACACGGAAGTACAAGCTGCAAAAAGCTATCGAACAACAACAGCAGCAGCAAGAAAAACTGCAGCAATCGAGTGATGTATGAAAATCACGTAATTTTGCTCATTACTGAACTTATCGAGAAACATGCCTTTGAGGCGTAAATTATTACCTGGCACCTGAAACGATTGAAAAACTGGTAGCTAGCATGAAAAACAGAAAGCGTCAGAGTTGCTGGGCTATTATTGTTACGCAGTGAGAACCACCAGTGCGTGTCTAGCTAGTTGTTTTAGATTTAAACAAAGCGCTTGATTGATGTAATGAAAGTTTACATACACGAAATACAAATGATACGTGTGTAAATAATTTATTGCAGCAATAAACAAAGTCGCTGTCTTTGGAAAGCTGACATCTCTTGTCCTGATTAGTTTTGGTTCAATCAAAGCATAAGAAAAATGTGACACTAGAACTCCTTCTAGCAGTACCCTAGTCTAGCATCCCGAGTCCAAATTCGTGCATAGCCAACAAAGACTTGAATGGCCTTCTCATAGTCTTTTGTTCTTCATAGCTTTCAGATAATGTACCCACTTGATTATAACGGCGAATCCCATGTGAATTCATTAAGCCACAATAGAGTATGTAGTTCAAAGAAAAGATGGCTAATGTTTTAAAAGCACAGGTGTTACCGTCTTAGGGCGCAATTTTCAGGGAATGACGAAAAATTGTCTATGTCTATTTTGTCTACATTGCAAATAATTGTCTTCTAGGATTCTTGAATTCTTACTTAGGCATTTGCATTAAGTACTTTGGGGAGCTTGTCGTAGAATGATGTTTTCTCGCGAAATCCACGTTTATGTTGTAGCTAACGCCAACTACGTTGATTCCAGGCCAGATATACTTTGGATCACATCGGTTTTATTTCACCCGCTTTGTATAAATAGGAGTCGATGGATCCTGTGAAACAAAGAGCCCATGGGTCGCCAGTGAAAAATGACTGCCTTAGGAACAAACTAAAGAAATTGACTTCTCGGGAGAACATAAGCATTGAAATTATATCCGTTTTATTCTATGCATTTGCTTTCTATTTCGATGACAATCATATATTACTATCGTTGGATTTTTTTCAATCTACAGTGCAGCCTTTGTACTAAAAAAATCTTTTAGCACTGCGAGACCTCTATTGGTATTTCCGCAAGACAGGCACATTTTTGCTTGTTTGTCCTTTAGAGAGGTTGTGTAAGTGAGGATTACGGTAGATCCTATGCATCAAATTTTTCGCTTGCGTACTGCACAGTCACACACAATTTGCTAAGTTACTCACTAGACCAACTCCAAGAACGTAACTGATAGAGCGGCTTGCTTGGTTTCATACGCACTGAGTTTTTTAGCCATGATAAGAATTTTTTCGGAGCGTGACCATCCCATTGCAGCTGAAGACGTATCTGTACCACTCTTTTTCTCTGTAAATTTTGTCGAGTAATCCCAGGACTCCACTACAAGCTATCTTTACTACAAAACAGTCAAGGTTCTTGCTGTCTGAATCACGATAAAACCTGAATATTGAATATTAAGTCATTACTTGCATGATCTAATGTAGTTCTATCAAATGCAGCTTTCTGCTACATACATATTTGTACACAGGAAGGATGACACGGAAGGCTTGGTTTTAAAATAACAATACATACATCTTAGAACACTTCTGCATAACTGTTCAAATTACAGGAATTTTCATAAGCAACAAATGCTTTTAAAGCTAAAATGAAAAACAATTCCGTCGGTAAGGCTATTTCAAATTTTCAGTATGACGTTGTTGGGTTCAGATTAATTCTTATTTGCGAAAGAGGTGCAAGGCCTTACATCTGATGCAAAACTCTTAGGCTTCGTATGTATAAAAAATAATTCAGAACAAATGTGAAGCGCAAACATGTGAAGGACATGCTGGAAGTAGTAGATTTCTTTATTAATTATATTATTATTAAATGCCTTCTTTTAACTATTTTTTAAAATTTACATGCATCTAAAAAATGCAAGGTAACGCTAATAGACACCCTGTGCTGACTTGTTAAAGTCAGCACCAGAATTAATGCAAATCGTGGTACTCAGCCATACCCGCAGCAGCACCCTAAGATTTGCTTATATATATATATATATATATATATATATATATATATATATATTAGTATATATATATATATATATATTAGTATATATATATATACATTTAGTAGCAATATTAAAATATTGATTGTCACATTTCACAGAATCATGTAGTATCTTTGACAAAATAAAAGTTAATTTAGCTCGTTTTCATGATGAAGACCAAACGAAATGGGTGATAGAACGCTCTTACAGTAGAATAATGAAATAACAACTTCATCTAAAGTTCTTTCGAAATGCATTCTCAATTTTACGAAACTTGAATTTTACGAAACAATGTGTATATGCTTTAGTAGTATGGGGAATAAAATCGCTATTTTCTAAATTCACTCTTCAGTGAAATGGTCGTCGTTCTGAGGACGAACTTCTATAAATTTTATTTTCTGGGGTACCCTAATTGTTATTCATTCAGTTTCTGTAATATAACTAAAAATGCAAATGAGATAATTCTTATAATGCACGCTCATTGCAGTGTGCCTACCACAAACGGAATTACATTGCGTTCCCAAATAACTAACGTTAAACAACCGAGATACAAGTATAAACAGGCGAAGACTGTCACATCAGTCTTTATCTTTCTAGCCGCTTTCCAGCTGTTTTCCGTCTGCAACAGGTTTCATGTACTGCTGTTTCAATATTCTCTAAGGAATCTATTTTCTTTAAGTTTTATATCCGGGGCCGCCGTTTGACGGCCGTTCTATCAAATGGCTGGTTCTCAACACGAAATGAATCGTGTCTATGCCCGAATTGAAACCTAGATTACCAAGTGTTTTTAGGTTAAATATGTTAGCTATCAGGTGCATCCTTTACAGTAATCTTGTTGTCGTTGCCCGGTCGTACAAATTATACCGTTCGTATTCGATTTTGTCTCTCCGTCGAGGCACTTGCAAATCGAAACGTACATAATTTTAATCTCAGCCAACAGCTGACCGCGCTCTGCAATAATTATTCCAATGGCGCATAAAGGATCAAACTTAAGCAAATAATCGTTTCGCTGTGATAAAATATGTTCTAGTAATACTATTTATTGAAGGTATTTCTATAACACAAGCGATGAGTTTGTGCTTGTGAAAGACAAAACGTTTCATTGAAAATATAAGCAACAAATAAAGAATATAACATAGATCGTACTTACATCTCACAATAGATATTTATAATCGCTTTAGTAAATTACTTCAGTCGACGACAATACAAGCCTTCGCCAGACGCCAAGTCTTTATTGAGTCTTTGCACTATTATTTATATGGCTTGTTTACTATTCCGGTAATAACATAGTATTAATCAGACAGATTATTGAGCATTTGACTTAGCAAACTGAACTGCAAGGGGTTTCCCCTTCAGAACAAGTCGATGCACCCCTTTAAGCGCCTTTTGTGCTGCTCCCACTGATCCGAATGTTACAAAGGCCTGACCTCTCATGCGGCCAGTTTTCATCAATCGAATGTCAAAGATGGCCCGTTCAGCTTCATTATCAGGAACGAATTGGCCAAATAGTAAAAACAAATCTTCTTCTGTAACACTCTTTGGTATATTTTTGATGTACAGGCGAACACATGGATCACATTCTTCATAATTTCGAAATGCCGGATGATCAATTGCATCTTGTAATGATATCTTCTCCATAGCTGTAATGACGGTGAACGCACTAGACCAGTTGAATCTAGATGGAGGTTCTGGAGAACGCTCCGGAGGAGTCGAAGGCTTGAACTGGCCGAACCCGGTCTCAAAAGCCGGACATGAATATTCTTTTGTCGTCTGGGCAGATATTTGAGAGATTGATGGGAGCTCAAGTTTTCGAATAGGATTTGTCGAATCAAAGCACTCTGAAACCTCTCTGGGTTTTTCCTTCGGCAAAAGTTCAATAGTTGAGATGTGTCTTTTTGGAACGCGTAACCTCTTGTTGGGAATACAAGTTTCATCTGCGGAAAGCAATGGTTTTGGTCGTACCTCTCTGTGCTCTTCATCAGAGACCTCAGACCCGGATTCCGATGTGATTGCGGTCGAAACGTCTTTTAGTTTCACTTCGCGGAACACTTGCGAAGGGTTTATTTGTCGTCTAAAAGGCGCTTGTAAATTCATCTTGTTCATTAGGTGCAGCACTTGTGTATAGAAGTCTGCATGATTCCTAAGTGTAACGCATATGTTTGCTAGTATCGTGTCTGTTAGAGGTGGGTACTTATATTTTACCATCGGATTAAGTACGTAGTTGAAACCCAATCGTGGTGCAATGGCATGTAACCTTTGGATAATTTGCTCGTTTTCAGATATGAACTCCGGGTTAGCTACAACAGGAGGCAACAAGGGTATGTTGTGATTAGATCTGGCAAATGTTACCAAGAGAAGGCAATCCTTGAGCTGTAGCTGGTGAAGTAATCCCATTGCACGACGAGCCTCAACTTCGTTGCGGTAGAAAGCAAAAGCCCGACCCCGACCGGGAACGGAAACGCTAAGCGCACCATGGGCTTTTAAGAAAGACACGCATTCAGTTTCCGCAAATGCTGGCGGTAAGTGACGTACTTGAAGAACACTTCGATTGACGAGGTACGGTCTCGACGGCATCTGTGAAATTACAAAAAAACCTTACATCTTAGAGTATGTAAATCGAAAACTTTATAAACGGGTAATTACTAAATTGGGAGCACAGACAAATCTGGCTTCACTAGCAAATGAATACTCTAAATTAGAAGAACCAAAGATCCTGCGAGCATTAGATACGACAGGTGACAGCTACTCTCAAATATTTACGTTTCCTTCAAGAGCTGTTTCATGAGAAAAACAACTGTTTTTAAAGTGGACAAACGGGCACAGAAATATAGGAAGTGTAGTACACAGATAGATCGGTTTGGGGTTGTATGTCCGATACTACCATTAAGCATTGCTCCCAGTGCGAACCAAAATTTCGAAAGGTTTCGAACTTAGGCCGCCGGACGTGTCTCTACGAGTAGTAAATAATACGAATAATAAATTATAATAACAATACGTATCAGTGCGCTATCACTAAGAATTGTTAATTACAAGATGATACATTTATGAACGTATACGACGCTTTATGTTATGAATGTAGTATTCGAAAAGGTTTTCAGTAGTAATGATTATATTGTCGTTTCCCATACGAATGACATCTGGTGTGAATGAGCCTAGAAAACTTAAAACTATTTATTCGCTTTTAAATGTTAAATAAGAGAGTCCCTAATGAAATGCCTAGAAGCTATTCTTGTCTCTGTCGTGCAGTAACTGGTCTCGCATGTATGTACTCACAAAAAAGCTCGGTAAATGGAAAGGACTGCTACCACAGGTTCTACTTTCTCTACATAAAATTTAGATTCTCATATACGCGCCGATGAGGCATGCATGGCAGATAGATTCTATAGACCTGCTCAGTACAGTGCCGAAGCATGCAGAACACATCAAGAAAGTCTCCTTGGAGTACTAGGTTGAGGAACAAATAGCTGCTTACAAATGTGTAGCTATAAAAACCCACAGCTACGTTATAGTATGTAATGTCATTACCAAGTTCCATCTCAAATAAAAAGACACTATAACTGGCATTATATAGACCGCTTTTGTTCTTTATTTAGGCAGTCAAAATGCAGGCACCACCAGCTTCCTTAATCTTCTGTTCCGCTCTCTTCGAAAACCATCTGGCTTTCACAATCACTGGGCTTTGAGGGAGGAAGCCCTTGCCAAGAACTTTAAAGTAGCCGTGCTGCACTACATCAATAACAGGAGCCTTTTTCTCCTTGTTCTTGGTCTCGTCCAGCAGGTTATCCTTGGTCTTGCGGTCAACTAGTGACCATAAAAGTTCCACGTTAATCGTAGGCTGGAAGTAATGGTTCTTCCTGACGTGGAAGTTCCGCATGCCAACTTTTCCAAAGTAGCCAGGATGATATTTGTCGAACATGATACTGCAACACAATAACAAATACGCGTTTTTAATGGCCCAGGCAAATTTATTACTTCAATAGACTACATACGTATTGACCGTACCTATACTTTGTGGGAAAATTCCCCCTACAAGTAACTTAGACTTAAGTCTTAGTGAGAGATACGCACGAGCACGATACATAAAATTCCAAAATCTATAGATCTGACAATAAGGCTACGCGCTTCAATATAAACAGCAAAGGGAAACCTTACCATACGTGCAGAAAGTAAAACGGCATAAAGCGGCATATCGAACACAATTTGAAACCCAGCGACATATCCTTTTCATAAAAGTGTGCTCAAACTATTCTTTTTCTAGCCTTTTCTTTCTAAACGATTCTTTTCTAGGCTTTTTTTCAATAGACATAGCTTTCTAACTTCTGTCGTTTAGTAAATGCATCACCATATAAAACTGACTCCTAACTAGTTTGGCTTATTTACTGAGGCCTGAATCAGAACGTATTTAGTATAAATAACCACACTTGCAAAGCTATTTAGTTTGAATCTCACCTTAACACATTTTTTAGTTAAATCAAAATAGTGGAATCGCGTGAATTCTTACACCTCTATCTACTCATCTTGTAATTGTATTGGAGCCCCGAAATTAATAGGCATGTTCATTTGTAAGCAGAGCTACCAGTTAAACAATATCGAATATATCGGTCGCAAATACCGGCGCATGAGGCTAGGAATCAAACGACTTACAAGCGCTTTGAGCTTACCGGTGATGGTGCTGACCACCAGCATTTCCTCGACCTCCTGGGTGCTTCCTATGCTTGCCAATACGCCCATGGCCGTGTGAAACGTGGCCGCGAAGGCGCCTCGTCTTACGACGAGGATTCTTGCGAAGCTCCGGCATCTGAGATTAAATAGCAGATATTGCCGTGAAAAAACTGTAAAGCAGGCTATTTGACGCCTTGCTGTACATATTCTGTTCTCGAATTGTATGACTATCGTCTATATTATATATAATATGGTACAAATGAAGTCTACGTAGCACCCACAATGGGAGAGTATCCCCATTTGTGTACACTTACTCCGCGTCACCACGTGTGGTAAAAGCCGAAAAGAGCGGAAAATATCCTGTCTACGATGTAATATCACAGTGTCGGAATTAAAAATATGAGTACAGTTTTGTGAGTACAGAAAGTGCGCATAAGAGGCGGATTAATAAAAAGCACTTTTCCAGCAGCAAAGCTTCTTATTAAAATTCAACAGCGAGTGGATACATAACAACTGAGGACAAGTAATATCACGCGGAAATATTGTGGTGTAAAACTTCCACAGAATACTCTCAGCACTTCTGGGTTGACGATTACAGACGATTTTAGGTCAATAACTAACCCAAAAACGCACCTTTCAACGCTTTGGTAGACGCGACTTTGCACGTGCTTGAGCCCAGAGCAAAAGGATCTCGGCAGCGATAGGGCAAAAAGCAACAGCCAACTTAGCACCACAAACGTACCAAAATAGTATCATGAAAGAAATCAATGATTTTTCAAACTGTATTCGTAATATCTATGCTGTCTTATATTACTATTATTCAGACCTCACGAAAAAGCTATTAAATTAATTTAACATAAATTGAATATAATTTGAATACATTTCATTATTGTCATATGGAAAATTATCATATGAACTGCAATGCCAACAAGGTACCACTGTATTACTAAAAATTCGTGTGGTAAGATCGACGTGTACATCGAAATCTACGATTGTGATGAAATTCTGAGAGAACCGTCCTGGGCCAGTGTGTTCCCTTTACGAAAGACGAGCACAGCTTAACTGAAGTGGAACTGTTGCGGATTTATCACAGATTGGCAGTGCTGCAATTAGATATGCGATCTCTGTGGTAAGCCAATCGTTTGATTGAATCAGAGGTGTTACAACATGGGGATAAAGGTTGATATCAGATTGTTCTTAATCAACTTCTTTTGCTGTGCATTTTCTAAATCAAGACATTTATCTCGCAATTAACATATCTCATTTATGCTGTTTGATTCAAGGTCAGCTGTTTTTAATCGGCTCTCCTGGTGTTCTTTGTGACACCTATCAAAACACCGCCGCCATAAATGGCGGCCCAATGTTCAAACCATGAATGTATTTTGGTTGTAGCACATTACGCGTAGCAATCTCTAAACTTTATTTTAGGAAATGTATGAAACCGAATTTAAAATACTGATGACTAGTTCTCAAGCAAACTCTGTTAGAGTTTGAGCTGTATTAGGATACACTTTTTATGACCTAAAATGAAGAGGTAATAGCAAGAATTTAAAGGTATTATAATGACAGCGGTTTATTTACAAGGTTCTGTGGAAGAAAATTGCACAGGATATGAAAATGAACTGTGTGCGATACTTGACAAATACGTTACTCTAAGTTCCTTGTTCGGTGGAGTAGCCTCAATTACAAATCTAACTTCCATTTTAGGCTAGATCTACAGCTAATTTTGTACATATCTTTCTACTTTTGCAGAGCTTAGCTTCTTGCGAGTTATATTCTTTATACAAACAAATAAATTTGCAATGTGCGTTGTTAAATAAATAATGTTTTGTACAGCATGAATAGTAAAAGAGAAATTTAAGACAGAGACTATATTCAACATTATTTTTAAGCTAATTAGTTACATCATTTATATATTACTAATTTGTTTATATTACTGCCAAAAATGAGCAATTAATCGAGTAATCAGGAGTAATTCGGACTTCGTGTTGCTATTATTTTTTACTGACTTTAGTACTGTTCGAAAAATGATTTGTTAAATGAGAAGCTTTGGAATAAAGTTGTTTCATGTTTACAAGCTTATAAACTTGATGAAATAAACGTTTGATGGTTAGTATAATAAGGTGGTGGCTAGATCTTTGAGTCGTGTTGAAGCGAGTTTAATAGACAATTGTGGAACTTCTGTTTATTTTTAATTCTCATTTATTTGCATGAATAATCGTTCTACACTTGTAGCTTGCCAAGTTGTGCCAGTGCTTTGTAGGTATCGCGTTTTAAAGGCACTTCTCAAGGCCTTCATTTGAAGACTTGAAAGGTCTACCTGTCTTACAATTGACTTGATAAAGGTATGCCATATAAGAGGTGAGACTATATATATATATACAGAAATATATTTTTTTGTAAGTCTGTTGACAATGTTCTTTTATTTGTATAGTAAGATATACTCGACCGTAAACTTTATTATGTTGAGATTAGGTTGGTATTATCTTGGTATGTCATTTATAAACAGTGATTTGTTCTATATCGAATTCCGACTATATGAATGATATAGTTTTATGGCAGAATTATTAAGGCCGGAGGAACGTAGTCTGTTGATCAGTCACTGTCTTTTAACGCTATCGAATTCCTTCCTCAGATCTAAAGAAGTCATAGCTACTTTCTTGTTTTCAGTTACTTGGCCGAAGCCGTTTCCAACCACTACTATCGTGCTCCAGAACCATGTTGTTTCTTTATAGAAAAAAGAGTTAATCGACAGTTTGCGGCTCACTTTAGCAGCAACACACAAGACATTGCGATCGGTCAAAGGTTTTCAATACCTGAGTTTCTTTCTGTGGATAGGTGCTGTTACAGAGTTCGTCCAAATATTGCAGAAAGAGGATAGAAGTCATGTTTTATGATTCGGTTCGGTCATTCAGTCTGCTGCTGAAAAATTTTTGTGCTATGAATATGTTTAGAAAAATCACTATAAGTTCTTAAATTTCAAAATGAGACACTTGCTTTCAAGCGGTCGATAAGGAGACCTGTATCATTCGTACCTGTACTTTGCGTAATATTTTTCTGGCACTATCAAGATATATATCAAGTCTAATTTTTGTTTCATTGATAACTGAGCATTTTCAACTTATATATCATTAATTTTGAATTGTGAAGTTGTTTTTCTTTTAGCTCATTGTACAATACTTTTAAATTTCACCTGCCAAAAGGTTTACACTTAGATACTTAGGCGTCGATGACTGATGTTACGTTTATCCTTTAATATTTTTTTTCTTTCGATGCTCTTAGTTAGGTTAAGAGAAATCCAATCCTGTTTAGATAAATTGCTTTTCCTCTGTATCTTACGTTTATTCATAATGCTATGTTTCGTTCATTTTATTTATAGGTCAGTCCAGACTATTTCGAGAAAATTTGTCCAAAGCCATTCACTGTATATTAAGCTGTTTGGTAACCAAAAGTTTGCAAGCATCGCTGCGTTAGACGTTTTAACTAAACAGGTATTTCGTATAACCTGAGATCTGCTCTCCTGACAAAACCTCCTTGGACAGCGAGCTTCTGAGTGTTAGGCACCGCGTCGATAGCAAATCTGACTTTAAATTTTAAAGTCAGATTTTTAAAGTTATTCTGTAAAGAGACCTATGTAAATTAAAATGCGGATATTTGTTGATAAAGCTAAATACACTAACGACTTAATTTTTGTTTGAGGATTTACACAACTATGATTGCTAAATACTATCCTTTAAAACGGTACTGTCATTTATGGGTACTTCAATTTATTTGAGCTCGGACCATTGGCTTTGATTTATTTTATTCACGCATTGAAATGTCACAGCTTACGATCGGTTCAAAAATGAATAAAGTACAAGTACGGACTCCGCGAAACGAAATAGTTTGATTGAAAAATGAAGCATGTATGTGTATACGCACTATGTGTACATGTGCGCTATGCAAATTATCGATTTATTAATTTTATAATTGCAGGATAGGTTCATTATCCACGCTTCGCATAATATTGTTGATGCAAGGTATTTCTTCGTCGTCGACTCAGCGAGCACTGGTAAATCTCGCGCAACCTAGCGCGGAAATCAATTCTAATACTAACTCTGCCACTGAATGTACGTATTTTAATAAGTATTATTTCTCAAATAGGTATTTGCATTTATATAGATTGTCTCTTATTATTATATAGAATGTCTCAATTAATATATTCGATAGATAAGACAATCCATCGAATATATTAATTGCCGTATAAAGTATATTGATATGAGCATAACCTTGCTTATTTCAGTGGTATGATAGTTACACGATATATACGGACAAACTTTTTTCTCTTATGTATATAAAGAAACCACATAAATGTAAGACTCTGCGCAATTTCATGCACACTTAGTGGAAACTTCCGTCGGCACTGCGGTTGTAATGACGGAATTTACTGTACAATACACCGAAATAGCATAACTGATGATATATTAATGCTTTAAGTTGGTATATCATGAACTATATTAATGGACCGAATTGTTGCTATAGCTGTCCCACAAAAGGTATTCAAGCCCGAAAAGTATTGGAAGGTGGTTCAACCGGACGAAGCTATTCCGAGAGGTCTTCATGTTCGCATTAACTTGCAAACCGGCAAAAAAGAGGCCAAGCTTCTTGACAGGTCAGAACAGAGGCTACAGAAAAAAATATACCCAGAAGATCTAAAGATGTACCTGAAGAGCATGAAAAACGAAGGCGATAATCTTAACATGGTCAGTGACTATTGCCTATATTATCTTCCACGTGTCGAATTAGGTTTTATTAACACCTGTATCGTGCTACAGGTGCTAGTGCTATGGTAGTCCACTAGCACAGACAAACGTGTCTTGGAAATAAAAAAAAGACGCTGTAATTTGGTTTGCCGCCGCTAGAGATAAGAATGCTCTAGGTATTATCCGCTTTACTAAAAACATGCAGATGTATTTCGGATCTCTTCCTTTAAAAAGATAAAAAACGAACTAACAATAGCAGTTAGTTCGTTTTTTTATAGAAAGGTGGTCTCTATTATTTTGTGGTATTTGCGATCACTGTGAATGTAAACCTGTTACTATAGTTTGTTACGTCTATTTCCCTCTAGAACAAATAATGCTAGTTGTTTTAGAACACCTTGGTTTATATTAGGGTAACAAATTACTTGAAATACTGCATTCAAGTACTCGTAAAGGAACAGGCAACAAGGTCTTGGTCACCTTTCTTAGGTACTCTTTCATTTTTGGTTTACAGACGGAGAAAGAGAAAATTCGTGATATGTCAAGTATTCAGAAGGAATTTCGGGACTTCGATCTCAGGCCAGTGAAATTAGAAAGCCACACAATTCAAGAATTGCTTGAAACATTTAGGTGAGTATATTTTTAAGGGGCCACCTATACGTAAACGCTCACAACAATTGATTGGCGGTCTAAAAGCACCTGCTGCGAAATTGTTAAGCTTAGCTGGGCGTTTATGAATTAGCCTGTGGAACACATCACAATAACACACCACAAGTAATTTGGTTTGTAAGGTCGAATATATCAAAGAAAATATTCTTAGTGGAGTAAATCATTCTATTGTAGCTCTTCTCCGAATAAGTCCAATTTCCATAGAACTATTTTTAATTAGTGATGTAAATCGATTCCTTAAATTATTCCTTTCAGAAATGCATCCTTATCCTTGGAGGATAAACAGAACAGTCTAAAAGAGATGGAGTATTTACTTCACCAGTATGACGTGGCCCAGGACTTTGTCAAAAGAGGAGGCGTTCGCGATCTTTTGAGTGTATTAGAAGATCGTACCCTTAGGCCTGATGCGGCCCTAGCTTTAGGCGCAGCACTTCAAGGGTAAATTCGTGAACACTTGCCAAAAAAAATTGCTATAAATAACCCTCTATCCAGGATCGAGTTTTTAGTATGACAGTGCAATATAAAGCGCAGTATTCGCAGTTATAGCGCTAAATTGAATAAGCTTTGAGCTACTTATATTTTCATTTTGAAACGTTTTTTTAGTAACCCTGTAGTGCAAGCTGCAGCATTGAACGCTCGAGGAGTTCATTCCTTACTGGTTGCGCTGCGTGATGGTTGTGGCCCACATTGTTTATTTGCACTTTCAACCCTACTTCGGCAGTTTCCCAAAGCTCAGAGGAGTTTTCTTCAAGAAGAAGGTGCTACGATCCTTTCAAAGGTGCGAGATCAAAAAATGTGATTAGTGTTTAGTAAGGAATGCCTATGATACCTTCAGTGCAACTAGCCATATATCAACTTATAGCACCAAAGCTTTCTCGGTCCGTTTGTTCGTCTGACTTAAATAAACCCCTGAAGTGGTTGTATTGGGTTGATTTTGACAGGCCTCTATGGCTTTATTATAAACAGAGCTGCATGTAAGATGAAGAGATTGAGTGAGTACTTGTTTAGGGGGAAATTGTTCTTTTCATTCTATAGAGCGCTATGTTAATTTGGACTAACTCCTTCGTTTTTATATACTTTTTATGTTTTCCTTTTTAGGCGTTAGGATTTTTGATACATATGTATATGAAACCTGTAAGGACTGAGGTGGGCAATATTTTATGGGATTTTCGTTGAAAATTTCTTCTACTGACGAAATTGTAGCAGAATGTTTCCATAAAGGGTAATATAAAAAGGTTTTGAGAAAGCGTTTGAATGGTTTTTTACGCTAATTTCTAATAAATATCAATTAAAAAATTAAAGCAGCAAATGAAGAGTCTAAGTCTTGTGAAGAAGGAAATTCTTTAATTTGTTATTAGAAACAAATGTCAAAATGTAAAAAAAACGTATATTACCGGTAAAAAATTAGCGCGAGATTAAAAATACCAGAGATAGAATCAATCTGCAACATATTTACATATACAAGTTGCATTTAGTATGTTTTGAGTAATTAGTAATCAAATACTCATTATACTGTCTGTTATACGGCTTCTTCGTAAACATCTGATATCTGTAAGCCTCTATATTTTATCACAGCTAAGTGATATTTTGACAGGTGTTCTCCGAACCCGATGCAAGTCAAAAACTAAAAGTAAAAGTGGTTACTCTTCTCAGTGATTTACTGGTCGAAAGAAGTCAGGCAGTGGGAGCAATGCAGAACGATTCTCGAAAAACGTCCTATAGCGAGTAAGTGAATGTAAAAATACAAACAAAACAAATATCTGTTGAAATGGACAATTCACTGCCAAATTGGCGTGTGGTATACGCGAATGATATACCGTACAGTGGTTAATTTTTGTATTTAATCGTTGTACAGAGTGGATCTTCTCCCGAGTATGGTACAGGCTGGCTTCTGTGAGATGATTCCGCGGCTGCTGGGGTCATTCAGCGAAGACGTAAGAGAGAAGGTATTGCACGCTCTTCACGCACTGGTTGACCATTGTAAATTAGATAAATTGGTACCCCATTTGGAAAGTCTACGTAGTCATTATCGGGTAAGTGTCTGAAGTTTTTTTTAGCATAGAGTGTAGGTTAGTGCTGATCAATTGAAAAAACATCATCAGCAGAAACTATTCTCTAAAAATTACTCATTCATTGTCTATCATGCCTGCATCAGTACTTCAGTGGCCTTATGTCGCACAGTAGCCTCTTTCCCCAGAACTTTAGATGAGATGAAATTTAAGTTTTCTGATTTAGCGATTGACTATTAATCAGTTTATTGATTGAGGTTGGCTGAAGGGTTCAATATATTAAAAAATATAGCTCTACGTAAGACGTTTGCTAAAATTTTGCATAATTAACTTCGACCAAGAGCTTTATACAGGTTATTGTCTAAGAATACATTGAAGCTGCAGTTACCTTTCAATTTAATAATCGTATTTTTTCCAAGACCTTTTTTCCAGTATTCCAAAGCAAACAGCTCTCTAGTAATGGGCGTAGTAAAAATACAGTACTATTCCACCATCAGGTAGTATATAGGCTGCTTTAATTTCTAGACAGGTTACGAGTCACACTTGTTTATATTTGATCAACAGTTTCGAATGTATGAGGAGAGCACGGATGTGCCTGACGAGTACTTTGAGGGCCTTTACAAACTGGCGGACGACCTTGTCAAACACATCACTGATGTCAATCACACTCATGGCGAACTGTAGTAACCAAACAACGGACGGATCTCAAGCTGCAGTATTAAGGTAAAAATGGTAACCTACAAAAGCGGGTTTCTTCTTCTATTGTAGGTATATATATGTATGTACCTATATATATATGTATATATATTATTGACACATGTTTCATATATATGCTTGTTGGCACGAGTATAAATATAAAACATGTGTCAATAAAGTTTTACTTACATTTAATTACAACTAACACTTAGTGGAATGACGCGGAATAGGTATATGTGTAACTATCGCTATAAACATGAAAACTGTTACTATTAACAACACACGCAATTTATTTTGATCGCAGGAAAATGATGCACGATTTTCACAGTTGTGTTACTTAACAGATTTAAGAAGACGAACCCACCTGTTGCTTACGGTATTATTATTTATTAGGTAGTAAGCATTTCGACCTACTACGGTGGCATGACTTTACTTACTCTCCTAAATGTTAGTGAACCCGAAACGTTCGATTACTTGAGATTAAAAATGAAAAAGTAGTTATTTGAGTAGCTCGTATAATTGCTAGGACTTGTTAGTCGCCGATATGTGCTTAAACGGTATTCTTAGTAACGCACTCTCATGATTTATCGTTTGTACATGCATGTATAAATCTTTACGTTTAGGCATATTACTTAAGATAGATAACTAATCAGCGAAGTTTTGTGCGAACAATTCATAGCTGGGCTTTTGTCATTATATAAATGCTTATGTATGACGAAAATATGTTAAGCCACGGTCTTGCCTTTGCTGCGTATATACGAGCTGTGTTAGCACATAGTTTACAGTATAAATTACAAATTGTTGACTATTCATGTGGTGTTTCGTACAACATATGGACAGTGAAGCGTTTAAGATAATAATTAAAGCGTTTCGGGTGGAGGGAGCTATCGCACAAGGCTTAATAACTTAATCTTATCTTTACCAAATAATGTCAACTGAATCCACAATATGTGATCATGATAGAAAAACAACATATCTATACCGTTTACTAGTTTGACAGGTCTAAATCTGCTATGCATTGCATATGCCCTATAAAGCTTTCGATAACTGTACATTTCTAGGAACTTAAGAAATTTTGTCTGTCGCGGCAATGCCTTTTATAGTCGAGAGCATTATGTATTAAGTTCGAAACTTGTTCATGTTGGCGGCCGCTCGTCTGGAAATTCCTACGGACGGAGCCGACGCATTGAATGACGTCGCTGAATTAGGTTGCGATGCAGAGGAACGGCTGGTTTTCATTGCTCCGGATGAAGAAGCTAATGTGATCAGTCGGCCATTTTTCGATTGGCTACACGTCGTGTTCAATTTAACCTATAAGAGTACAATGAAGAATGGTGTAAATTAAAGAAAGGCAGATTTTATGAATTTTACGGATATAAAAATCCCGCTTTAGAGGTTGTGAACCAATAGTTTAAACTCTGTAAATGTAAATTCTTTCATCCTCACATCCATTTGGGAGTTACCCTAAAGCAATCTGCGATAAATTCAACATATTTTCTTTAACAAGGAAAAGAAGCAGGTGACTTAAATTTAATAAAGACTGAGAAACATTCGATTATTCATGGAGTCTCGCGTTTGTGCGACAATGTTTTTCATGAATCACGACTCGTATGTTAAACGTTGCATCATTCCGCGGCAAGATAATTTTTTAGTCACTTTCCATAAAGCCCACGAAACAGTATCGTAATTTGCAATTATTATAGTATCACAAAAATTGTTAGTCCCATAAAAAATATGAGACATCCATGACTCCGAATTTTGTTACGGATACTTAGTGTCGCATTTTAATAATTAGTGTTCCGTTCATTAGCTGCTGATGTGCTTCACTGTAGGAAATGAAGGCAGGTTTGGTTCGTCATACCACAATTGTAATGTTTCCACCCTCACTGCATACTTGTTTCGAATAGGCTTGCGCGCAGACTAGAACATACATCACCACTACGCGTCCCGGTCGTTCGGGCAACGTCCCGAAACTTCTCGAGCGTTGGACTTCGGCTTTCAGAAGAAGCGCTCTTCACACTGGTGCCGTTCTTCAACGTCCCTAAGCTGATAGTAACAGCCTGTTCCCAAAATCGCTGTTTATCCTTAGTAGAACGCGGCGACGTACTCTGTAATTGTGATAATAACTACGGTTTAGATATTCCGCACCTATGTTTTCCATAACGCATCTGTGAAGTACAATATTACCGTATGATTGGTACAATAAAGGAGAACTGAACTTTAGCTATATATATGAAAGCGGTACATAAGGATTAGGCTTTAATAACGAACATGTCGAATAGAAATAGCGACCCTTCTAAAAGGATGCACCGATATTTGGAGCACCTGTGGGAACACGGATTGCGTAATTCAGATCATACCGTACATCGGCAATGTCCTGATCAGACAGTAAGGATGTTCTAGCCAATGCCATTGGTGATCCACGAACGTGCGGCCGAAAGTATTAGACTAGTTTGCATCAATAACGAACTATGATATTTCTAGAACATATAAGTATGCGGCTATTCTGCCTAATACAGCATTTAGACAAATTGCGAAAGCTCCGTTGAACTGAGCTCTGTTGCGTGCGGTTGTAGGTCTATCTGCCAGATTGTTAACATGAAGGAGTTTGAAGGTCTGATCGTAAATGCTACAAGGCGCAGCAAGAACTCATGGAGCGTGACGGTGACGCAACAGTCCTTTTGCGTCACCCGTTATTGGGCATATAAGTTAATAACGCAGCTTCCACCTGAATGATCACGTTTTGCTTAAAAACTACAATATTGTTTTAGGTATTGGAACAAATAATTGGTGAAATCTTCTTCCTCATATACACAAAATGTTGTCAACTTATCGATTTATAGAAGCATTAGGGTGCTGTGTTAATTTTTGTTGGCTTCAAACATTATTACTATCGTTATTATTCCTTCAGGAACTTCTTAATCATTCTGCAAATTATGCCTATAGATACTCTCTAAAATCGGTTACATGCATAGTTGCATAGTATTTCTTGAAAAGGATAGTTATACGTAAGCGCTTATTTAAGCGTAAGAATATAATATTTTGCGATAACGAATATGGATGGTCTCACAACCTCTGCAGTGGCTGGTGGAAGTCTTAAGTTGTTGCCGGTCACGAGCTTTTGTGATTCGTTTAGGGGAAGCATAGAGACAACACGGTTTTGTTGAGTTCCTTCTTCTGGTTGCGAGTTGACTGACTTTGAAACTTCGTTCGCGATGAAGGTATCATTTGTTCTAAAAATAGCATCTGTCGGGTTTGTTATGTCATCAGCGGGTGTGACAATAATCTTAGGACTCGAACATGCTGACATTTCCGCAGCGCGAACCTCTTCGTCTCGATGTTCAGCTTCGGAAAGGAAGCTGCTCGCGATCCTACTCGAACGAGAAGGGGCTCGCATATTGATGTCGGAGTTTAGCGATGATCGATTTTTCTCGAATGTGATATGTGCTTCCTGCACCTCAACAAAGCCTGCAAGATTGTTGGAGTTCTCCGTAACATAATTGTTAGCTGAATAGCTTTGATGAATCGAGTTCCGCCGTGAAGTACGAAAAAATTCGCTTGGCGAATCAAAATTTGAAGTTGCAAGTGTGCCGGCTTTAGTCAGTGTACATGATCCCATTTCAGCGGGCTCATCCCTTAATGATGATTTGAGTCCATATCGTGTATCTAATACCGAACAGTTGTTCTTTTCTGCTTGTCCCTGAGCTGACGATTGATTGTTGAGTTCAGGCAGATTTTTTTTTGAGTATGATCCTAGCCGGTTGAAGGTAGGTGTAGGCAATGCAGCGTCTAATGGGAACACATTTTCCTTGAACGACGTGTTTAATGCATCGACTTCCTTAGTGAGACTTTCTCCTCTTTCTGTGTGCTTTTTAAGAGACCTGAACCTGTCAACTGCCGCATCTTTTGTCTCTAACTTTTTTTCTAACTTATTTTCTTTAAACCTAGCTAAGTCTGCACTTAAATCAGGTTGAGTCATTGAACGTTGCCTTTTTGATTTCGTCAGACCTCCATTCTTCAAAAAGTTTACAACTTCCATAATCAGCTGACCTTGTTTTGAGTCGTTTTCGTCTTTTTTAATTTCCCCATTTGGTTTTTTGGGGCCACTGCGTCGTTGCTTTATAATCTGCGCCAAGGGAGGCGATATGAGCCCAACAGGAGGTGGCGGTGGTGGTGGGGGTGCACCAGTATTAGCTGTGCCCTCCATTTGTGCTACCGAAGCTTTACGCAAAAGTTCGGCATTTTCTTCTCGGAGCTTATGGATAAGTTGCTTGAGCTCACGATTCTGACTGTTCAGTTGCTCCACTTGCTGGCGAAGCTCTTCCACTGCAAAAACGACATCAAATAATAACTTGTTGTATTTTGACGATAATAGATAAAATGAAGCACAGCTAAATTTTCTACCAGTATGGCGAAACTTTTGGTAAAAGAATTGAATCTTAAAAAACTGATCGTCACAACCCGTCAAAATTCAATTACTTAGTTATAATACAGGATAAAACTAAAGAACAAATAGAAAGTTACAGAAAAAGCAAAACACATAGCACATTATAATGGACAACCTGTTTTAACGCAGTACATTCATATTATACGATTCTATTTGAGGGGAGCGTTTGTTTTCATCGCTTTGATATAGCAGAATAATCTGCTACACTTACAAAGGAAATATTTCGCGGCGCATCATATGTATTTTTACTTTTACATCTCGCATGTTTTAATTATGTGAACAAGTGGCACGTCGACAAGATCAGCATATTGTTAGCTCTTAGCTGTAGATTCCGATTAAAATTTACGGGTCCAATGAGGAACCCCACTTTGTGTACTTACTTTTAGAATGAACATTCAATAAGAAAGCAATTATAGAGTAACACAGTTCTCGAATTCCTCTGTGAGAGAACAGATTCATAAACTAGTGTAAATGTCAACAATCCTCAGGCAACCTTAAATACATGCTTGAAAGAACTAGATAAACTACAGCTATATGTTTCACGGTTATCTATTGCTACATGGAGTCAAACACGTGTCTACGAAGCCAATTATCGTAAATTAAACAGTTTCTATTTAATCAATATGTACATCCATAGCTAACCTTGTGTATGGTGCCTATGGTTGTCGTCGGGCTCCGGTTGAACTGGCATGACTTCGCACATCATCAGTCTTCTTCTTTAGATTACAGCTTCGGCAGGTTCTCTTTATGAGTGGACGTCACGTTGAAGAATCGACCGTTTAAGCGAACCAACGAATGGATCTCGCCTTTTTCTTGCGCGCTTTACGCTATGAAATAAGATAACATAACTGACGTCTTAACTGACAACTCGCAGCGACATGGAACTACACCACGCCAAATCTTTAATAAACAAGCTCATTAATTAATCTAATAATATATAACGAAATCACACCTAACGAGGCTTCTTTTAGGTAGCGGCATAAACAAAAATGAATTACTAGCTTGTTGGTAGTAATATTTTCCGTGTGATCGTATTTCGTATTCCGAAGATACAAAACTCAAACACAATGTTACTAGACAATTTCCTCATCGGCAAACTAGAAGCACGGCCTTCCAGGTAATACAAGGCAGGGTCTCGAAGGCCTTAAAACTTTACATTTTATCTAATTAAGCACCCCGAAATCCTCATACCACTGCACACAGTCACAACTATCAGTGTTTACTATTCTGAAACATGGATAGGACGTAATGCAACTATTGCGAAGCATCTACACAGAACTTTGAATACTACCGTGAAATCAATCAGAACACAATGGTCGAGTGTATTGTCACATTGGATTCTTACACGTGAACAATTCAGCACCTCTGTCGCAGGAGGCACAGCTATAACACAATCTGATGGCTACTATGCCAGATGCCATACGGGAGGAGGAACCAGCCATGCGGCAAACAAACTAAAGTTTGATGTATCTCTGTCTCCCTCTTTCTCCCACTCGTTTATTCTTTGTGTTTTCTTTCTCTCTCTCTCTCTTATACTCAAAAAACTTGTCGTCCCCCACCATTGGATATAACTCAGTTGCGCTTCGGCATTTCGTGGCCGGTTTACTCTTGCACTCGCTACACTTACTCATAATTCGTAGGATCTGGTGATCACTAGGCGTTGTTAGGGTTTGTCAGCCTCGGCATCTAAGAAGGGTGCTTGTTGTGGGAGGACAGGTAGTGAGTATTCGCCCTAGGCAGTTAGCTTAGCTAGCTGGTAACGGCAACAAACCATGTTAGGTCATGCAGCCGGTGGTTTAAAAAGTTTGGAGTATTGAAAGCCCTAACAACGGAAGTGTGCGCTGTGTATGGATCGAAGCCAAGCAAAAGAATAGATTACTTCCAACTGCAAGCAGAAGCGCAGAACTAGATTAATACGATAGATAGACTTGCTCGTCCGTAAGTTAAATGGGCAAAGGCTAGGTGAACGTTCTAGCAGCAGGCTGGTAACCATTACTCCCCAAAAAGAGTCATGTTAAATAATAACAAATTAAATAACTCATTTTTGGCTGATTGATGCAGGTCCGTCCATCTCCTGCCCTATGCATTTGTACAACATACTTTGAATGGAGTACAAAGCCAACTAAACTGCTTAATCGTCCTTTCTATACGAGAATAATTGGCCGACGATGCGCGAATCTTTCCCGCTAATCTGATTGAGGTCATCGTAAGAAATGAAAATTTGAAAACATCTAATACTCAGCAAATTTCAATCCTTCTCATATCTAAAATAGAAAAAGCGAAGACACCAGCATTTTCCGCTGGCATAAAATTAAGTCCTACCACATAATATCATTTAAACTACTCCTATATACGAGAAACGTCGCTTAACCTAATTTCACTTTAATAATGATGGAGTTAGACGGCTTCTCTGGTATCGTTACAGGAACGCTGGTGCTTTGACGAGCTACTTATATAATCTTACAAATAACTTCGTAACGTTCCTGTTGAGAGGTCCAATCGTTAAATTCGAGAAATGAGTGCCACAGTAGCACACGTTTGAATAAATATCGGAGAACAGAATAGATAATATTGTTATGCAGGTCGCCTATAACATTTCAACAGAGTATAAGCTATTCGAGCCTTTCGATTAATATATAATATTACTCATGATGTTATTCTGTCAGTTAGTTGCCGACCGAATCAATTAGTAGGCCTTTTCATTTGAAATGTGTATATGCTTGAATATTTATGTTTGCATATATACTCATTGAAGATTAAACCGAGCGATTATGCTAATCACTCGATAATTTGCGATAATGCCGGCTAAATGAAGAACACTGCAGGCCATTCTATTTTTTCTATTCTCTTTTATTTATTCTATATGGCGCGTGACATTAATCCGGTTAAAAGTTGGCATGTATATTCTCGAGATTTAAGTGTAAAACACTCCACAAGTAATTCATCATCTGAAACAAACATATTGATGATAAACTTATTGTTATAGTTTTGGAAGGGCATATATGCTATGCACTTTTGAGTTAAGCTTAGCAACCTTCATTGTCATTTACTAAGGACTGAATCCAGTTTTCGACTTACTTCATCTCTTATAAATTCAGGTTCATTCTAAACGACTGTAGAGAAGAGAAAATGGAAGACCAGGGGTGCCATAAAGAACAGAATGCGATGATAATCATTCTGCTACGCTGGTAAAACTGAAGATCATAAAATCAAATTGATTGACCTGAGCATAAAAAAAATATTGGAAATCGAGAAGTAAAGCAACGAAGCGGTCCCAACAGACAAAATAAAGGGAGGATTATGGAAAACCAACAACAAGAACCTCAAAATTAATAACAGAGCACAAAAAAAATCGGAAGAGAGATGCTAGGACACCGCAACTAAATGAAGATACGTATACCATACTAGGTTCAGGCAAATCTGATCTGTCGAAAAAGAGTCTTTTCGACAGATCAGAAGTTTGAAATGTTCCAATGAAATACTAATCGGTATATGGATGTTTAGATATGATTTGCTATACAGAACAATATATAGGTACATGGCTGACCCAGTTCTTTTTGGCAAACCCAACAAGGCACTACATTGTGTATAAAAGGATAGACGCAGCGATATGGTGGACGGGTAAATCAAGCAATCCTATAAGACGAACAGGGGAAGGTTCTTCTAGACCGGCATTGACCTAGTAAAACTACTGTAAGTGTGCTTCTTGTCGCCTAACAGACCTGAGGAAGCATTTATACGGTGATTTTCGGAGCTGGAGGATGTGCACATAGCAGGCACAAGAGAATCATTATCACGGGGGACTTCGTGTGCTGTTGACCTAAAAATGTAGTACATTTACCCAAACAAGGTGGAATCACAGTAGATAGCGGAGGTGGTTGGTTGATGATCAATGCTAAGAGCACGCCGACATCCTCTGAAGAAAGAGAGAATCCTTTATTAATCCCACAACTGGTTCTCAGAGAGCCCCATCCAGAATGCTTGATGGAAGAGTAGCAGAAGGAGAGTAATGTAGAGGCGAGCAAAAACACTTTTTTTTTCCAAAATAAACACGACAGAATTACAGAATCTGGCAAGTACGAAAAATTAATTATAAATTTGTGGTTCGGAAAATGGACCAGATAATGACACAAAGCACAGACGATAGTAATGAACACAATCAACCAAATAATTAATATATAATTAATAGTTAATTTTATGCCTGGTTTCGAAGAATATCTATAGCCTTTCTAGTTTTAGGCCATTCACTGCTGTTATAGTGATCTTCCAGAAGTGGTCTGGGTAGCGTCGGAAAGCAGGGGCATTGAGCTTCTTAATGCCTCGAGGACTTAGGGAGTTGTTGTAACGTCGAACAACAGCAACGACTAGAATTAGCCAGTTATTCCAACAATGTTCGTATAAAGGTACGCTTTTGGCTCTATTACAACGGAAAAAAATATAAACTTCATGCCAAAAAAAGATGAGCATTTGGGACGAAAACTTATTTATTGAAAAGTAAGTCGAAAAAAACTAAATTAACAATACAATACTTAATACATCTAATTTTAAAAAGAAAGTGATACCAACTCATTTATTTCGCTTAAAACCAGTTTAGAAGTTATGCTTAGTCAGCCTCCGAGATGTAGAGCTTTTTCAAGTGCACATTTCTAAAGGCAACACTATGATATAAAATGCATTAGTACATAAATTGCACGTATTTACTTGGTCATTGTGCAGTGCATGAGTAACTAAGTTTGAAAAAAGGTCTTATAACTATGAAATAGTGTCATTTACATATTTGCAAAAGAGAATGCATTAATAGCGGTAATACGACTCTACCGCGAAACATGTGATTATTTAAATTACATTTTCAAAACTTAGAAGAGCTATTGGAGTCAGTACAAAACTCGGCAGGGATCGACATCCAAGTCCCCTATCTTAGCACAAAGCTGCAATCTTTCAACATCAATGTTGGCGCAAGATTTCTGTTTCTAATAGTTATCCAAATCCACTCGTCTTTGGTAGCATACAAAGAGAACGATAATTTATGAGTAATTAATAATACTAGTGATTATTGTTATTATAACAATTTATTTAGTTAATTGGAATATTTTGTATCAGATCTGTAATTTGAAATTGCATAAAAAATATGTGTTGATATACAGTGTAAAATTAAAACTACACACTCCTTGCTAGAAACCGTTTCCATTTTATATTTCCCATTATTTGCGTATGTAGCAACTGTTCAAAGGAAGTCATTGACTGTTTGAGTTACTGTACAGGCTTCACACCCCACGCCTTGACATTTATCTACACATAGTTCTTTACCATACGGTCTACGCTTGCGCTATTCTTTTCTCGACTTGTAGTAATGTGCGGTGTAGACGAAGACTACTGCATAGGCAGTACTCTGCAAGAAGGCTCACTAAAGCAACCATGTTCTTTGGTGGTGCAAGAGCATTCCCAATAAAAGATGGTTCTGCTGCTTCACTCGTTTTCCTGAAAGGTAAAAGTATTTCTTGATATCAACAACAATAGGTAGAATATCTAACATTTGTCAGCCCTAAAGATCAGACTATATGAACACTGTATGCTATACTCAGTATCAGGCTCACCTAGCTGCTTCCACGTAAAATCGGGCGTGAGAACGTAATGCCAATGGAAACTCTGATGTACCATTTATTATAACTTGATCGTTGCACATATTGTCCAGCAGGCTGAAAATACACATTTATGGAACTTTAAATATGTATATACATTGTTGCAAGAACTAACAAATGGAGAAAATTAATATAATTAAACTATTTTGTTTCCATTTCTCAAATGCAGACATCTTCCGTTAAATCTTCAATTCAGATTATGTGAACAGATATGGTGACTTGAAAAATTAATTTTCTTAAAAGCGGAACAAAAATCCAACTTACTATTGCCAGAACTAAGATAATGAACCAAGCGTTTATCAGCGTGGCGCATTTCATTTAGAACGAATGAGTAACGTAATAGTGAATAGTAATCGCACAATAATGCACAAACTCGTTGAACATGAATATGAATATGCATATTGCCATTACCTAGTAAAAAGGTTTCACTATACTTCCACTAGGATAGCAAAACCTACGTTTTTTAAAAAATATATTGTAGTAAATATAAAATCGCGTAAGTAAACATAAGTACGTAAATGCATTCTTTACAATACAATTGTTCGCTTAACTAACATTGTAAATTCTACATAACGCGCATCCCATGGAACTTACTGAAGAGGGTCGGCTGGGCTCTCATGTTGAACAAGCGTCCGAAGTGCGTTTTTTAACGGCCAGCTAGACGGAGATAATTTAGGCGTTGACAGCATTCGTTCTACGGCTACATCATCAATAAAGCGTGCACACTTACGCGAAACCACTCCCCTTTGATAGAAATCTATCACAAACAAATTTTGACATGAAAAAAGGAAGAGAAATCAATTACCAGAACGATACGTAACTCGATCGAAGAAGACAGGATGTGAAGATATATAGGAAGTTTCACCTTTTTAGTATAACCGGTGTTCTAATATTGACTAGAGGCATATCCCTCAGTTCTTATATGAGTCATTAAATGCAAGTTGATTTAGTGACAGTTTACCTGCGCGACGTTTGTCGCTATGACGTACAAGGTATGCGGCACTTCGAATATGCTCAAATTCGCTTGGTCCTCGAGAATTATAGTATTCTCCGCGACGTCGAAGAAAATGCGCCCTCCGAGACAACTGCGTCATCCAGTGTGAGATGACGAAGTACTTCTATAAAATTATTAGATTTGTCTCGTAAATCTTCCGTTCGAAATTGATCGTTTTAGATAAGCGTGTCATTATAATCTACTTCTTCTTAAAATACATGAGCAAGTGCGCCTAAAAAATCCACGAATTCCGATCATGAACGCAAACCTTAAAGCTATATGTGATGCCGTTATTGACGAATATAAAACACGAGGCCAAGTCCAAAGTGGTCTTACCACACCTTCCTTGTGGCTTCTTTTCTCAGCTTCTAGTGATGAGGCGTACTCAGTGCTGCCGTTAATGCCAAAGAGATACTTCAATACAAATAGCAGTACCGCGCAAGCCTCGAGTTCCATTAGAGGCACTGGTTTGGCGGTCATATGGGGAAACTCTTCTGAACCATCCAGTGTCCACGAGGGCTGTAGGTTATATTCGCGACTAATTTTTACTGCCATTGATAAAATTTCACCTTAAAGAAAGTTGCACGCAATTTTCCTTATGGAACGTACGTTTTAGTTAACATATATGCAACACGCTCAATTGAGCGTTCACACCACTCATTTTTCCAACAACATATCAAAGTTGTTTTAAATACAAACGAAATTGAATAAGCAAATTTTCCTTTAAAATAATAAGGCCTGCATCCTAATAAAGAGAAATATTTGAAGCGAGGCTTACTATCTATTACAACTATTATTTGAAATGTTATATATATATGATACAGCTGTACGAGGCAAGCGTGTCTGTTACGGCGAATTTTCACGTTCAATATGGTAAAACTTTTAGGAAAAGGTGTTTATTGTAACTTGGTCAAGCCATCTCTATTGATAAACCATTATTGGATAGGCTAGGTTACGTCTGCAGACCGTTATCATAAGTATGAGCGTGTGAACATCCATAGAAAATTCATGAGGTACTTTACAACCAACAAAATATTGGCAAACAATTTTCTACAAACTTACCGGGTAAGTTTAGATCGAGACCAATACGAGCAATAAAGTAGGTCATGGGCGGCATTTCCAGTTCAGGTATTCCCAGCAAAGCACATAGTATTCCAGTTGATCTGACAAATGATCCCATGCCGGTATGCACTGGGTGAATATCGGGCAAAGTCATATTAAAGAAGAGGTTTTGTCGCCATTTCAATAGCTCTTCTGCCACGCCATCGCGAGGCTCTCGGTATGTTAGCGCCTTCTGACGAATAAATCTGGAAGATAACTGATATAAATGAATTCTGTTTCACTGTTTTTTAGTGATTCATAAAGTCACAACTGTGTGTAATGAAATAAAAATAAAGATTTTAACATATCACTAAGGTCTTGTTCATTTATTTATGCGTTTACTTTGCTTTCTGTTCTTCTGAGCTTACATTTTACTTGCCTGTAAATGTCAAGTATACCAATGTGAAAGACCTTAGCACGAACAATTCCCAGGTAGAGTATCATAATCAGACAACTAGTATGCATCTGAAAAACAGGCTCAGCATAGTGTTCAAGTGAGAACCGATTTCGAGACTCCATGTACGATTTCAGCCTCTGAGAATCGACAGCCAACAGATAAAAAAAAAAGCAATGTATCAGGCGACACCGAGAATGTAGTCTTCTAGTGATTATGGGCTGCTGAACTACAAAGGAAAACTAAAGTATAATACTACATAATTTAAACACTACTTGTACGACAAGAAAATCACCATCACTAACAATAATTTAGCCCTACTCTATAAGATCCGCGCAATTCCAATTACAACAGGATTACCTACAAGATATCACCCTACCCAACCTTTTATTAATTTATGCGGTAAACTAGACCTTGCGCCAAAGAAATACGATAGCTAGGTGAGCTAATACTTTAGCAAGACGTTGCTACATCTGTATCGGGTTTATCGACTTGTGCTCGTAAATATGATATTTTGTTGATTTTGTAGCTTCGCAGTGAATAGTAATAACAAGTATGCATGCTGTAAGGTTTTATCAATTCCTTTTTTCTGAATTTGATTAAATAGCTTATATGTGTCACAATTATATTTGCAGATCAATAGAAACAAGCCACTTGGCACCACGTTTGATGACGTACACAATTGTAAGGAATCGGTGTTGTTACCTTTACTTGCATATGATTTTAATCATAGTGATTGTTAACCTATTCTCCAAGTACTTATCTGTAACCCTATTTAGTCTGATCGACCCAAAGGCTAGATTCTTAAAACTTTGACCCCTTTCTATACCACTTCTGTTTAGTGTCACTTAAGGCTAGCAGGTTTCATTCGGAGTTCAAAAGACATGGAGACAAATCTTATTTTTAGTCGCGACCTGAGGTGATCAGGATTAGAACCAGCTTTCTTTCCCTGCCTGTCTCATCGACACTGAACAGCCGTGGAAAGTCAATCAAATCACATCACTTACGTATGCAATGTTTGACGTCAGGTCCACGTCTTCCACCTGCATAACCGAATTACCTCGGTTCATGCTTGATGAAACTATGCCTTCCGCTTCCTGATCTCCACCAGCTGGTACTTTTTTTACGTTTGCTGTATCTAGAATATTAGTTTCACTGTTTTCCATTGACACATCTAACACGTTCAAGCTGGAAATGTCCGTCTGGTGGTGCGCAAAAGCAAATGATTGACCTTCATCCACTACATCCATTCCACTCTATTAAATAAAGAAATACATTCCACGCGCAAATTTTTTTAGAAAGTAACGTTAATAGTGTTCCATACGTATTATATAGTACTATGGCTAATTTAACTATAAAATATACAGCATGATAAGTCTAGACAGAACTGATGGAGCTGCAAAGTCGTTCCGAAGTTACGTACAGATAATGTATTTCTTTTCGTGATGCACATTAAATACACTCTCTGTTTTTTGAACGATTTGTTGAAGGAAAAATCGCACACCTCTAGCGTCCCAAAGCCGAAACCCGAAGCTTCTTCGGCTGCTTCGCTCACACCAACAGCTGCGTCATTACCTTTATCACTGTTGCTCTCGGTTGACAGTGCCGACATACTATTATCGTTGCTCTCTGAAATACGAAAAATTCGCAACCATTAAGCACTTTTCAATGTGATTTTTTTTCAAAGTTTACCAACTAAACTAAGACTATTTTTGACCCATCGCGCGCAGTTTCACAACAAATGCTCATTCGACATCGGTAATATCCGATGAAAACTCGAGCTTGCAGCCATGAAAAGCAGCTATGCTTCGTCATCAGGATATGAGCCAAGATTAGCTATTATCCAATCTATTCACAGACAGCAAACCTCCAGTAACATGATAAACTACTTATTTACCTCGAATTAATAGCGTACAACATTTTTAGTAGATATGCGACCGCAGAGGATGCAGAAGAGGGCTTTAGCACAGCTCAAGGGAGAATTGCCGGCAGATAAAAAGTACTGCCGATTCCAAAGTTAATTGACGACGGCCAAAAGTTCATTTCTAATGACAGATCTGATTTTATTAGTATCATTACTTTGTCCCAGGTTCACGACGACCTTAGTTAGGCATCATATGTCATAAAAGTCAGACCGATGTCCTTAAGGCCAAGGGATTGACTAACGTCGTTTGCTCAAGTTCACTCAAGACTAAATCACTAAAAAAAATCTCTGCATTTTCCGCAAACTGCTGTGCGACTTTAGACAACGGTAGGTAGTATCTAAATAAAAGTTTTACGTATTTTAGCATAATGCTTCATCGCCTCATATTCAATTATTAATACAGAATTAGCTGTTTGAATATGTGACCATGTTTTGGAATACACATATATGATCGCTTTACACCTCGAATTTGAATACGTGTGTTTAGTATGTGTGGAGGATGATTAACCAAGAGTACAAGAAATTGTGGAGTAACGACGACTGTGCTGTCAGCTACTAATAACTTCACTTGTACTATCAGGTAAAGGTGTGCAGAATTGCAAGAGAATTGAGGATGTAATCGACGTCAATGGAGGCTGTACTTAATAAGTTTAGCACCCAAAAATTGCATATGTAAAAAAAATCATTGAAAACTCTGTTTTTATTTAGATACAACTCTTAAAAACAACTCATGAAAAGTCTACATTCAAGCAATACACCCTGTATATACTTATGCCAGATAACATTTAGAGGGAGCAAGCAATCCACTCACGCGTGCTAAAAGCAGAAACAAGTTCTGATTTTGACAAAAAGATTCTATTATTTTCGACATTGACTATCACACTAGTTATTAATTCTAAATATCTTTGTTAAAAATTGAAAACTGATTTGGAAGAAAGTTTACTTTCCTCTTGAGCAGTGTGGATATCAGGTATTTTTAGGGACTTACCATGGCCGGCCGTTGACAAGCTACTGAGAATCTCTGAGAGACCCGTCGCCTGTATACGTGGTGCTTTTACTGGTCTATATCCACAGAGTACTGAGTGCTGTTTGTACCAGGAGTTTTTATTCCTTTGCTTGTACATGCTACACAGAAATAATTGTCGTCAGGCGTTATATAAAAATTATCTGAAACGCTTTTAAGTAAATACATTAATCCATTTCGATCTTCCTAAATCTCTCCAGTGCTCTTAATAAACTGCCAAATTTTACCTGGGAATTTGCAATGCCAATAGCCCAAAATTTGACTGGAGAGTGTGCTTTTCCGATTATATATAATGAAGTCATTATCTGACACTCCTATATATGCATAAATGCACTTGTATGTATAAATGCATTTTTTATTGATACCTTAAATTCAACTATTGAGATTACACAGGTTGTGAAAAGTTGTGATACTTGTTTATTAAATTAACTTACGATCTGTAGCGCATAGAGATATGGTTGAAGACAGCTTTCTTAAGGCCAAATGAATCTTCTTTAATTTTTCTAGCCGCCATTTCGAATTCCTCTTTAAGACAGAATGGTGGAAGCTTACCGTAGGGTTCGACGTCTATTTCTAGAACATCAATGTATTTAAACCACAACTCCATTACGGCCACCTTCCAACAGAAACAAAACATCTATCATTCCTGACTAATTTAACACTGAAAATAATGGTTAATGGTAGAATCATCTGCTTTAGAACTACTTAATAGCTGCTATATCGCAGACTTCTGAAAACCCTTAAATAGTAATAATGGGAGAAACGCATCATATAATTTTCACTGAAAACATGCAGCTACACTTACGCAGAATTCAAGTCGAATTTACTGCTTAATTTGACTCTGGAAGTGATATTTGCATATGAATTGACTATTTAGTAACAGTGACTATATTCCAGTAATAATGATATACCAGTATCAGTGCGAACGAAATTTATTCGCGCGACATTTCACCCTTGTATAACAATGTCGACGACAATAGTGAAGACTCAGTGCTACGAGCCGTAATAATACGCATCAATGCCCTAGACAGTGTGTCCCATCATACGTGCCAGAAGTCGGCTTCCAAATTGATAGTAAAATTAATGAACCATATTTGCGAATTCTGACCCAAGCAGTTGGCTATGTTTGTAGGTCGACGTTATTAGCTTGGTATTTTGCTGCTAATGGTTGTTACCTTTAACCTGGGTGGAGCGCCTAACTGAATCAGCTCATCAACGAGTTTTCGCAAGAGGTCATTGTAGATACTAAGGCGACGGTAGTAACGCAGTCGCCGATCTGATGCTTTTGTTTGCTTTTGGGATCCGACCACACGCCCCGCAGTGAATACCCGCGAGGCCTCCGTGTTCGGCTCAAAAGCCAATTCAAGCTCTTCTTCAACGGCATGCTAAAAAAAAATCAATTTTCCTTTTATCTAAGGTAAATTCTATTCGACACAGATTCGCATCACTCATATTTATTTCAGCGTAAAATAGTACCGCTGTTTTAATTCAAAAGCTATTTGACTCATGTAATAAAATGCGAAATTAAAAATTGTAAAATAAATACAGTAAACCCGTTGTGAATTACCTAAGTATGTCGGGCAGAATACTAATAAATACGATACCACTAACTTTTAACTAACTTTTAAAAAGATTTGATTTTCAAGAGCCTTATTCAATAGCCCAATAATATTAGATGTATCTTCTGCCTAAGCATTCGTTTGCTTCTGAAGCTTCGTACAGTTGTTTCGATCTTTTCGCTAAAATTTACAAGCGGCTTTCACTGGGTGTCAAAACAGATGATGCTAAAGAGATTATATGTTCAACCAATTATTGTACACATATGGAAACAAAAATGTTTCTTTAACTTCGTTGCAATGACAAACGGATCCTATTCTTCGATCTTGGCAGTTAAACCATAGTTCACACTCAGTTCAGCTTCCACTTGGGATCAATTAATACAAATAAATATAGAATGCGTCAGTCTTTATCACTTACGTAGCCTCGTCATTACGAGAGTTCTCTAGATTGTTTCTACGTTACTTAAATTAAACGAACTCAATTATTTAAGACAGTAGAATTATATACTGATCTTGGCTACACATTGCTATCGTGTTCGTGGGAGTGACGTGTAGGCATCGAAGAAGAGTATGTAATCAAATCGTTTTTACCGTCAGACACTATTTCCGTCTCTTGAATTCTATGCACATATTATGGTTGTAATATGTGAAATATGTAATAATTGAATACCTGGCTTTGTGAATTACAAACGGTGCAATAATAAAAACCAGTGACTAATTTAAAGTGATCCTCTGTTCCGCATGTCCCACACTGAACCATAATTCTTTTTTACACTGTGACACTTAATTAATTCGTAAAACATCACTAAACTTCACTGCAAAGCAATGATTTATTTTCAATATACCGAAATCCTTTGTATTAGTGCGCTCAGCTATACCAATACAGTGTGGAAACATGGTTTGTTTATATTTTTGTGTATCAATATCAAGCGAAGCAGACAGATTCTGATCGCACCCTCTCCAAAATCAAGCCGGTCCACAGCCACTCCTATACTAACCTAGTTGACTGGATCTAAAAGATACGAGGTACTACAATATATATATATATTTTTTTTTATTTAGAGTCTGTCTTTCAATATCAGATTCACAAGGCACTCGTTTCCCACTCACGTAGCATTTCTATTATCGAAAGTTCAGTTTGACGTCAGATTGAAGTTGCGCGCGGCAGGAAGACTGAACAGCACCAATGACTAGGACGGAGAAGTACACTGAAAAATAATACTTAACGCTTGATATATTGGCCTCAGAATTAAAGCTAAATCAGCTTATGCTGTCCGTTAATACGTGCTCTCTGTTCAAATTTGAACGACACCTGGTCATTGCCAGTCAAAAACAGCTCTAAACGCTAATACACTATTTCATAAAGATTTTTTTTGGATTTCGAAATTGGCTGCGGTCCGAATAGTTCGTGTGGTATCCTTAGCTTATTAACCGAAACCACTGGTGTTTTGCAAGTCAGCCGATAACTTGAATTGGGTAAGAAATTTGAAATTTTAAAATAAATCTTAATAAGATGTGCTAACATGAGCTGAATTCGGCTGACACTTTCCAAACCAAGCAAGTGCGAGTTTTTTTAACTTAAATATGCTCGACGTAGATAAGAAGTCGATGCAACAACACTTGCCATTCCACGATACAGCACCAATCAAACAACGATCTATTTACTAAGGACCGTCAACTCATTTTGGTGTACTTATTTGTGTTGAAAGTGCGACACTCAGCTCATGCATGTACGTAGAGTTACACCCAAGCTTATCGTTTATAGAACCGCAACTGGACACAGGTTGAAAAAACTTGAGTTACCCGCATAGTTATTATATTAAAAGCATTTCTGTATGTGCGCTCTCCGTGAATCGTCTATTCTACTAAATTTTAGCCTCATTGAGCCTTAATTGTAAGTATAGTGCATAACTGCAACGTAGAAGAACATTGGGTCCACAGGGCTCACTCTTGCCATCCGCAGGTGCTGATGGAGGACGAAGACTTCGAGCACCAGCTGAGGCTCGAGCAGCAGGAGAAGGCTCGAGCAGAAACGGCGGCGGAAGCAGACCCATATACGTACAAAGATCCTAATGACGGAACCGTCTATGAGTGGGATCATGAGAAACGAGCATGGTTTCCCAAGATCGACGACGACTTCATTGCAATGTACCAATCAAATTATGGGTATAGTGATTCTGGTAAAATGAGTGCAGGTGATACAAAGGAAAACGAAAAAGAGCAGCCTGAGAATCTTGATTACGCGCAAATCGCTTCAACAGACGCTCCTTCAACAAGTCACAGTACCGAGACGCCATCTAGTTCGGCAACGATTGGGGCGAAAAATGTAGCTGGTTCGCAAATCTTAAAAAAGAAAGGTCTTAAAAATAGCGGCTCAAAAAGGCCGGTTTCCTGGTTTGAATTAGACGACGCTCATAACTCAAAAGTTTACGTAAGCGGATTACCAGTTGAAGATTTTGACGAAGAAAAATTTGTTGAATTGATGTCTAAGTACGGAATGGTTTTTAAAGATGAAGCAGGCCGATTTAAAGTGAAGCTATACCGTGGAACAGATGGAAAACTAAAGGGTGACGGGCTGTGTACCTATATTAAAGTGGAGAGCGTTCACTTAGCCATCAACTTATTAGATGGAACTAAAATAGGCGACAAACAGATACACGTTGAAAGAGCTACGTTTGAGATGAAGGGTCAGTTCGATCCCAGTAAGAAACCTAAACAGCTTAAAAAAAAGGAAAAAGAGAAGCTCAGGCGGAAAATCGACAAGTTGTTTGCGTGGAAACCGGAAAAGCTCCGAGGAGAGAGAAACAAGTGTGAGAACACAGTAGTTCTGAAAAATTTCTTTGAGCCGAAGGACTTCGACGAAGATGCCCGACTCATTCTGGAGTACCAAAAAGACCTGCGGGACGAATGCGAAGAAAAATTCGGTGGCGTCAAAAAAGTCGTCATTTACGATCGTCATCCTGACGGCGTAGCTACTGTCACTTTCAATGAGGTGGAACACGCTGATGCTTGTATTGCCATGATGAAAGGGCGTTTTTTTGCTGGTCGCCAATTACAAGCGGATCACTGGGATGGGAAGGAACGATTCAAAGTAGCCGAAACAGAAGAACAGCTTGAGGAACGATTGAAAAAGTGGGATGAATTCCTCGAAAAAGAATAAAAGCGTAAAGCAAATGCCATAAAGAAAGCGGCTGATCAATAGAGTATATTATAGAAATACTTTGTGGAAAGCATTAAAAAAATCCTACGTATAATTGTCTCCACAATGTGAAAGGTTATTAGTGAAATGACAAACTAGGCCTGTATTGTTTTTTAAAGATTATTCCCGCTGTTTCTTTACTACCAGCTACTAATGAAATGACAGACCCGGGCGCTGGGCTTGTATTGTTTTCTAAAGATTATTCCCGCTGTTTCCTTACTACTAGCTATTCCTATAAATTTGATCAGCCTTGGAGCTCTGCCGTTGTCCAAACAATGTTAACTAGTTGAGAACCGCTACAGTAATATCTACAAAGAGCTACAATACGAGCAAATACAGAAAGCATCTGGTTCCTTTACTTCTGACTTGGTTTAAAAACACTCTTTTGGTGTTCATGAGAATAAATTATGAGGCATTAAAGCGGCGCCGCCAGAGATTAAGGCACAGAGCTACTGGTCTTCGGTGCGCGAAAGCAGATACACTGATATATAGATATTATTGTCATACTGTAATAATCATATTTAGCTTAGGTTCATTCCGCTAGGGTGGAAATCGTAGAAGATGTGGAACGCAAAAAACATTTTATTGCTAATATCCTATTAGCTAAATGGATGTACTGTCGGAGTTCAAACATGCCACAGGAACTTGGTCTAAAATATCATAAATAAAAAAATACTGGTAAACGTGTACTGTCTTTTTCAAACAGTTTTACTTGCACATAGTATTCATTTTCTGTCCACAAAAACTGCAAGGGATATTGTTTATTGTGCACTTATTATTAAGGTTAGTGGCAACCTTCTCTTTGAGTTGTTTATCCTAACCATTTAGCTCTCTGCTAGCGACACCCATATATAATTAAACAACAGCTTGTTCGAAAGTGATTTGGCTTAAGTATTTGTCCGCATGCCTTTCATTTCTCTGTTCTAATAGCTTTTATATAAGCCTTAGTAATAAAAAGTGAGTAAAGAAAGTGATAACTAAAATAACCAAAATCGGTGATGATTTCACAGAGTCGTCCAGCCCTGCTGTTATTTTTAGCACATGTAAAAAAATCATGTCATATTTACGGCTGAAAGGAGATTCAGAGTATTATTAAGTTGTGATCGCTCAGCCAGTGTTCATTTGGAGACAACAATTAGGAAGTACAACGATATCATACAGACAAAATGCTTAAAAAACAACTGACAGTTCGTCGTGGTAGATCATAAACATATTACTTTTCAGATTAACACAGATTATTGGAAAGGAAAAAGACTACCACCAAACCAGAGAGAAATTCATTGCATAATTCTCGGGCTTATTGCATCAGTTATTGAACACTAAAAACTGTTGGTAAATACTTTATCACTCAAAGAAGTAATTTATTAAACAAATAAAAACATTGTTGCGCTAATTCTACTTATTCTCAGTACGTCACGAGATCTCCTGGGTCATGATGCAGGCTTTTCCCGACTTAATTTATGAGCCAGTCACCATGGGCACGACGCTCATTGCCGTGCAGTTTAAAGGTGGCGTGGCAATTGCCGCTGACTCCCGTAGTGCAATGGGAACCTACGTATCCAATCGCGTTGCCAATAAGATTACCCAGATCACCGACTACATCTATTGTTGTCGTGCCGGTTCTGCCGCCGATACTCAGGTGAGCTAAATTTTAACCCACTTATCGCTGTTCTTTCTTGACATGATTTACCAGTATAACCTGATTTTTTGATAAAATTTTTTACTGCTATTTGGTCTAACAAAATTAGCAAAATTGGAGTTTCTAATTTAATAGGCCGTATCTAATGAAAGTATCTAATGAAACTCTAATTTCTAATAACAAAATTGGCAAGAAATATCCAATTTGATTGATAAACCCACAGACATGATGACTACTATAAGTTCATATGCGTCTTTACAAAACTGGTTCTAGAGTGCACATGGTTCTAAGTTCTCGTAGCTACCTTTCCTTACGCTGTATTGCTCAAGCCTGTAATAAAAACAGAGATGGCCATTAAAAGTTTTCTGTGACTCTTATTTAGAACTTTTCTACAGTACAATGTTCGAGATCGATGACTGAAGAATTTGTTTTATATATTTATATATTGGTATACCAACAGAGCAACTCCTTGACAGGAAAGGAGCTTCAGACTATTTCCGGGGGACTACTTTTTTTCTGGTTCAAACCATTTTTCGGCTTGTGTTTATCATCATTTAACAATGAAAATACCTCGTTCGCGACGTCGTTTGCAGACGCTTGCTGAAGTTGTGCAATACGAGCTGGATTTCTACGAGAGGGAAATCGGGCAACAACCTACCGTTCGTGCTGCAGCCAATGTTCTTCGTGGTCTATGTTACGAATATCGTGACAGGATGACTGCGTCCATTATTTGCGCCGGATGGGATCGCCAAACAGGGGGGCAGGTAAGAGCTTTTCTATGAGATCGCCTGGCGTTGGCACTCTTCGCGTAGCAATAAGAAAGCAATTTGCTTGTCCTCTGTGTTTATAAGAACGAAATTTTGAAGGAGGAACTTTTTATTGATTGCCGTGCTTTTTGCTATTTAGATTATACATGACATAGGCATATTTATAGCACGGCCCAATAAAGTAGCTCAGTGGTGCTCATTTGAATAATTTACCATCAACTATGGTTTCTTTAGTTTAACGGAACGCGTTCCCGTCCTCTTTGCATAAAGCTTGTTATTTTCCAATGCTTGTTTTTTTAATAGCTATAAATATGTCCAAAAGCGGCATGCTTGGCGAATAGTCATGTACATAATTGGAGTCACACTTATGTTTTCCTATGTTGGAACCTTTACTAATATGTGCCTTTCAATTAGCGTTACAGTAATTAGGAAATAAGACGCAAGTGTGTTTCAACACAAAAATACAAGTCTTCTTTTTTTTTTTTTATAGATATATAACATCTCCGCGGGAGGGTCATTAGTACCTCAACGAATAGCTGCGAGTGGTTCGGGTAGCCTCTATATCACAGGCTTTCTCGACTCGCAATACAGACCTGACATGACAAAGGAGGAGTGTGCCGAATTATGCCTCAAAGCAGTTTCTTTGGCAATTAAACGTGACGGAAGCTCAGGAGGTGTATGTCGCTTGGCTGTTATTACCGAAGACGGAGTCGAGAAACGAATGATTCCCAACGATCAACTCCCTCAGTTCTAGATGAGATACTATCAGAGTTAACTTCGATAATAACTACATGAATATAAAACATACACACTGTATGTACTAAAGGGGAGTTTTTGGTGCAAATATGGTAAATAATTTGAAAAAGTTATTTGTGGACAGAATAAAGCAGAGCGCTTTAATCGAACGATTACAGTGAAAAGCTGACACAGCAGCGAACCTTTGAGACAGGTCGTGTGAGACTGAGTGTAGACATTCGACCAGAATATTGGTATATATTTTACTATTGAATAAAGGAACCACCTGTCTCATATTAATATGTAGTACTTGGAATTTTAATGAATGGAGTTAAGTATTTATCAATGAAGTAACTCATTTTTGCAGCAACTGTGCATATATATATAAGCCGCTTAGTTAGTGCATACTTTAATGACGCTGATTGTTCTTGCTTTGCGAGTGAACTACGTAGGAAATATACGTAGTAATACAAAGTATAAAAGTTGGAAGAAGTAGCTTTTTTATAATTACGAATATGTAGTAAATACAAATTGTGACGCGCGATGAAACTGATTAGAAAAGATGAAGATTTCTATCTTAAAGAGACGGAATACATGGGCCATTCAGTTTTACACAGTACCTCGGGATTTATTTCTTTAGAGTAGTCACTTCTATCAATGAGTTATGTTGTTGCACGATGCAATATTGTTGAACGATATTTAGTACATGACGAAGCTGGCGACATTCCGGAGAATCTAGTTGTCCAATGCACTATTCTTCTTCAACACAGGCAATAATTGCAAAGTGCTTTTTTTTTTCCATACTTCCGAAATACGTCGTTAAGAAACAAATTAGTTACCAGCTTCTCACTTGACCCTAACTATTTTGTCGATAAGTCCTAATTGAACATCTTGGCAAAGAAGCGGTAAACGCTGCACAGACCATTGATCATCGCACTGGAAGCACAGATTCTGTCCGTCGTGGTCATCTCTGCCTTTTTCTGTTCGCAAGTCTTAAGTGCATTTTCTAGCAGGAACGTCATTTGCCAGCATACCACTTGGGCGCCCAACACAAACGAAAATGCGATGGCAGCAGCGATTAGCGTCGCTAGACTCCAACAGGAATTACTTAAGTCGTATTCATTGAGCGTTCGTTCGGAATGATCCTGTGCCAAGCTTGTCGTATCACAACTGCTGCAGAAATATTTGATGCCGCATTCGTTAGACTGGTCCAACGTATCCGCCGTACACGAGTTTGGGTAATCCAAGCAGATCGTGACGTGTGAAAGTCCCTTGTCAGTTCCACTTTGAAGTTCCATGTCCGTAGAAAGAACAGAACCTGGATTTGGTGGGTACTTGGTGAATACACGAGTTATTCGAGATCGTGCAGAATATTTCGCTACACAACAGACGCTGCTGCCCAATAACTGGTATTCCTCTGGTGCATTTGCATCAACACCGACTTTAGTAGACAATACGTTTTCATTATTCTTTCCATGCATCGTTTCAACTATTCGGCGAACCGACAACTAAGTGATCGGCCTCCGCCTACAATCAGTACAATTTATCTCGAAGCCCAACAGAATAGTGTTTTAGAACGGGAGAGTGCAGCCGCGCCACGTTCCGTCTATTGACTAAATTTGGAAGTGGGTTATACACAGTCGTCCCTGCGATCGACGACAGAAACACTTTGTTAAACAAGTCGATCAATTTTGGCGTAATGAAGAATGTACTATAATTGATACGACATAGGCCTTTCTAGCTCGCTTATAATTAGTTCGATGGCGTGGCTTCATTTGCATTTCACGATAGAAGCCTCAGTTCATAGTAGCACTCATTTTATTTGAAATACTAACTTTATCCACTCACTAGGAGCAATACTCTCGTATCGACCATAAAAACGTCTAGCGCGGGTAGGCCTTTGAACTTCAAGATGGCGTTGAACCGTTAGCGCCGCCCGTTTCAGCAGTCACATTCGTCTGTTGCTCTCTACTTTGCTGTTTTCAGCCGAATATGTATAAGAGAATATGTTTCTGAACTTCATCGCGCTGATCGTCGGCTAACTCGTTAATCAATTTGGTGATATACTGGCTGAACACAGATCCAAGCGAGCTTCGATCTTCAGGCACTTGTTGAACGACGACAATCGAACTCTGCGAAAAACCGCTTTCACCCTGAATTCCTGGTAATAAACGCAAGAACATACTACTTAATAATGAGACAACTGGCTAACATCAGCTGCGCTTTGTGATAATACAGACATGGCTTTAATGAAGACAACAACCTATGAATGCTTGTACCTTATGCTCTGTCTTGTTTGACATCTTCAAGGCTAACTAAGCAAGCTTTAAAGCACATCTCAGAGTTTCCGTTCATGGAAAAATCTATCCAAGTCTAAATAAAGTACTGATATGTGAGTGATATGTAATCCTCCTAATTAACCTTTCGGTGCAGCGTGAACACGCCGTGGCCAGTATTGAGTATTTACACTTTATGGACTGTACTAACACGCATCACATGATTTAGTTAATATGGACTCGTATTACGTACCTTTATTTGGTTGGATCACTCTGACTTTGCCGCCGAGGCACTTTTCAAGAGCTCGATTGAGAGGGGCACATGTATTATCCTTGGAAAAAACTTGATCCATGACTTTGAAATACGGTGACATTTTTGCCCCTGGTACATGTTTGTTAGACATTAGCATCGCCTTGACTGCCACGTGTTGCTTTCGCATGAACTTGATTTTATTATCAACCTGTAATCTCGCTCACTGAAAAACTTGAAATCTTTCAAAAAAGTTTTATCGTGCTGAATGACAAGATTCTTTAATTATAATAAATATAATTTATTGTTATTTATTTACTGTTGTGCAGTACTTAGCGATGTTAAGCAGTCATGTTTTATAACCGGCTAAGATATTTACTCAAGTAAAGACATAAAATTGTTTAAAAATTCAATTGCTGCCACGAATCCAGCTAACAGGTCAACGTAGCCACACTAGCTTATTAACGAACCCGTGTTGATAACGATAATCGATATAGTGCTCAAGTTACGAAAGCACAGAGTGCATCATCTAATGACAGTAGCGTCTCATTCTTCTTTGTTTATTTATATTATTTAAATCTTATATTTAAATCACACACACTTATGCAAGATATGCAATTCGTCTACACAGAACGTTAGCTTTTTCACCTGTTTGGCCGTTACGGACACGCCTGTCCTGCTGTGGACTTCTTCAGCCACCTGTTTATGCCTACACCAGCTTCGTGCATTAAAGCCACATAGCATTCTACCAGGACCGGGATCAGTTCCGGAGTCCACATAAGCATTCCGGCGTTAGCACCACCTCGATGGTCTTCCTCCCCCGTAAGATCCCCTGCTCACAAATTTGAAACAGTGGCAACGTATGCATCATTCAGGTTCCTGTCATTAAACCAGCCAATTATCGCGTTTCTCTTGTTTCAATCATGTCTCTTTTGTAAAATACGGCCAGTAAATTACGAGGCAAACAATTAAGCTATATAAGAGGTCTGTTACGGGAAGAATAAATTTTCCTAGCAACGTGTATTTCTTAGGCAGCAAACTGATGCTCTACGAACAATCGTAACGTTCTGAGATCTAATCTCACGACTAGCTGAACATTCCTTCACTGAGAAACGGTACGTTATTAAACAACTTATTTTGAATATTTTTAATTAAGTGTACCAAGTCTAGTCGTTTTGTTCGTGTAGCATGTTCTTCTTAAAGCTTCGTAGAAGGCAGATTTTCGGAACTAGCAAATAAACGCACCAGAGTTTTGTTTCTGAATCAGAGTCGAAACTATTCTCGGAGTTGTTGGTGGAGTCGAGATGGTCGACGCTGTCGTAACAGTAGTGTTTGTTGTTAGTAGAGTTGTTATTGCAACTTTTGCGACGGTAGATGTTGATGGTGCGTTTAATGTGGAGGTTTGGGTTAGATCTTGAAAATGCTGACTTTGCGAAGAAGTCGATGCTTGCGTGACTTGTAGTTGACTTTTGTGTGGATCAAGAACCTGGGCAATGGCGGCCATGTGTGTGTGAGGACCAGCGGCGGCCTACGTATGAAGAAATTCTAGTGCATTTTGGGATATTAACGGAGCAGCACACATGCCGGCCGCGTTTCCACTGTCAATAGCTGGAAGGAAGTAAGAAATGGCTTTTTTCGTGTAGATTTGTTAATACCACTATAAACTATCTGGTTTGTTTTAAGGTGTAGTACTTCAAGACCCGCTGCACTTAGGATTTTGTAAACTACTGTCGAATGAAGTCCAAAGTTTCGACAGAACTATCGCTTCTTAGCAACAAAGACAATTGCACTACGGAGTCATCACATCATCACTTATTGCATTGAAGTTATGTTGCATCGCGTAAAATGTGGTTAACGTGATCTGACACGAGATAGAGTATTTTATAAACACAGAACTAATCAATAGTAAGCGTAGATATTGACGCATGTCCGATGAAACAAATTTTATCTGCGTATTAGAAAAGGTTTAGCAACGGTAATTTCGTAGGGAATAACGTGCCCAGATAAGGGAATTGATGACTCATATCTCTTATAAGCTCCGCTAAATTGTACCAATATTGAGATACTCACAACGAATTTCAGCTTGACTTTGATTTTTTCTATATACTATGGTACCTACATTTAGTCCGGCTCCTTGATTGCATCTTACTTAGATTTATTTTCAGGTTCTTACCACGTCATGCCAAGGCCGAAAATGCATTTTTGTTGCAAAGTGATTGAGATGAATTCTATCGCACGTTAAAGGCGTGCGAACTTTTTTCTGTGAGTTCAGTGTGTTCTCTAATGCATGCAATATGCCACACGAATTGAATCCTATTCAGCTGATCCTCTAATTATAGGTTTATTTCTTATGGATTGAAAGAAGATATATTACTAATTACGGTTAAATACTCTAACCAAGTTACTCTTCGTATAACAGTTTCGGCACTTGAAGACTCCGTACACGAAAGTTAAACTTAATAATACATACAGCATCAGTATTGCTGACGTGCCTATCGCTATTGTGTTTATACTGTATCGTTTATGCTAGAAGCTTGAACTCAAAAAAATCATTTCTAAGCTAAGCACAGTATGCCGTCTTCAGATACAAATTTGAGACGGAAAAGGATAAGAAATATAAATACAAAACACATAATATACCAACATGTTTGATAAGCAATCTGACTTTATTGTAACAACATTTGTCCCGCTTTGCGTCTCTCATACTAGCATGGGCTTATTCAGACTATCAGCCGTTCTGCATCATATCTCATCTGGTCAGCCTGTACGATTGTAATTAAAAGGTCCCTATAACGTCCATCTTGCTATGATGTTACAAAATCGTTCATATTCAGTACACTCCAAATACAAGCCCTGTATGAATCATCACTATCGACTACTTTTTTATTTCCATTGGTATACACAACTATATACAAATAGCACTTCAGATTGATTCTCATCATCCGCCATCTTAAATTGTCACTTCTATTGTCTGGCACAAATTACATAACTTCCTGCAACAAATAAGGTATCTTTCCAGTTATCGTTCAGTAACGTCATTGTTGAGAAATCACGAACCTTGATAAAAAAAAATAAGCGCTTGGAAAAGCGGTTTTTCTCTAGCTAAACCAACTCATACCATTCAAATACCCAATTATTCAATTTTAGTCTAGTTTAGCTTTTATCAGCATTTCTACTCTAGTTATTATTCAAACTCAAATTTATTTATTGGGTAAGTATTAGAATACACATTAGCAAATACCTTCATCTGTTGGCTTCGCATTAATTTCAATAGAAATTATTAAATTGTTATTCCGTCTTTTTTGTATTAATTACATGTGTCGCTCGGGCCCGATACAACAAGAGACCGCTAATTGCAATAACACCTGAAAACAGTCATGCAAAATACTCGAAATTCACTATGCCAGAAACCAATATTTGTTGGGATAAGTTTTATTTATCTCTAATATAAAGAATGAATTTGAAAATTAATTATCCCGAAAAACCTACATCACACCCAAGTGCAAGCTGACAAAATAGTAATGGAATGGTAGAAAATGATTTTAACTTTGAAAAAATACACGAATAAGATATGGCTTGTTGATAATTTACCAGCCCTTGTAAGGCATAGTATAATAGGGTGTATGGAAAAATGAAGTCATGTAATCATATTATAGCATAAGAAGACATCAATGTGATGGTAGATATATATACGTATATGTATGTACTACTTAGCAAAGCAGTGCTTTTAAATTTATACGCTTTTAAGAACACTGTTGTAGTAAATACGTTTCATTTAGTATCTTGATAAGGTCTCTTTATGCCCTAAGCGGAAGAGGATTCAAAGACGTCACTTTACAGTGTTGAGTTCAGTCTTAATGACAGAATTCATTTTAAGAGCCTGCCTGTCTATATGTGTATGTGCTGGTAGTGGCAATCAACGTAACTGAGCCTTTTCTGGCCAACAATCGTAAATCTAGTCTCAACCCTTAAGTATCTCAAGTACATTGAGTCCCCTTACCCCTTTCGGGTTGCCACACGGATAAAGTGCCACAATGCACATGGGTTAGAAATTGAGCAACCTAAACCACTTATATGTATCTTTGTCATAAGCGTCTACGTGGGCCAGCTCACGTATATATTGACCGCTAATGTAACTTGCGCACTCTCCACCTCGGCCATATTGCAAGAGCGAATATGATCGCCTGCAAGACAAAGCTTCCCTGCTAAATGATATTGATGATGAGTTCGCCAAGACGATATCAATCATCATCTAATGATTATAGAACATGATTGCGGTTGCAGTTACAAAAAGTTACAAAAACTCGAATCCTACACTACTCGCTGGGTGCCTATCCGTATTAAACGTATTAAAGATAAAATCCGTATTAAAGATAAATTCTGACAACAAGTACGTCCTGCTTATTAGAATGAAGTAATGTAGTACCCTAAGGTATGGGAAGGAATATATATATATATGTGAAGAGGCACCTAAATACCGTATCTCGATAAGCGAGAGTGAATTAATTGGTGCAATTTTTACAAAAATATGATATCATTGTACCAATTAATTCACTTTCGCTTATCGAGGTACGGTATTTTAGTGCCTCTTCATATGAAACCTGTGTAGGTAATGAGTAAAGCATTTCAATTCAGTGAAGTGGAAAAAATGCACACGTAGCGTACGTAAACAATTGTACTTCCAGCGTTAGGATTTTTAAGGATGTCTTACAAGATATTGCTGCTTCGTTATAAGCAAGTGCTCGATATGTTTGTTCAGTAGTGATAATGACTAATAGTCCAAACGGTTGTTTCGAATTGGGTTATGTGTTCAGCGACCCCAACCCTTGAGTCAACACACACGCACATACATTATCTTAAGAGGGTTACGCCGTCTTCTCCACCTTTTTTTAACCTAACCAATAACTACACTTGTTTGTTTGCTTGTTCTGAAAATACAATCCCTAAAAACTAGTTCTCGATGCACCCTTCTATGTGGTGCAAGCCAATATTATTATACTCCAAAGATAGATTTCGGTTGCACGCCTGAATTATCAAAAACTGATAGTCTACATTATTAGTCTCTGGTGTGTCGTCTGCCGCTTAAATCCAGAGGGCTCTCACATTTCTGCTAGGACAACAATAACGATGACTTTAAAGAAGAACAGCTTCGGGTCACATTTGTATCGTCAACTTTAACGTCGATTAGTCATCAGAATACACGTTTGGATGTATCACCGGCCACTGTGATATCACGCTATCCATAGATAGCTCATCTTCAATTCGTTTTGAATTTATTTGAGCTCTTCGGCATAATAACGTTTCTTGAGGGTCCGATACTTTTTGAGCATATACAGCGCCTCTAACTCCTTTGTCACGTATACGGCGCGTGCAAGTAGAATTTCGATCTGGTGGGGGTCGCTCACTTCCCTGTTCTTCATGAACGCGTTTTTGCAACGATCCCGGAAGTACTCGTAACCCTTTGGAAAGTCTTTGCCGAGATGAAGTAAATTTTTATACACTTGTTTAACCGTTAACGGGGGTGGAGACTGTTCTTGATCCGGAGCAGAATGGCTGCTAGTAAGTGCTCGAGTCCCACCGCGAGGTGTAATCAGGTTCGCCGCGCACAGATGACCGGCGTACCGGCGAACAACATAAGGCAGCATTATTTCACTAACCTCACGCAGTGCCTCTCAAACAAGAGTGAAGGATTCTCACTCTGTTTGTTTTGACTGTTTTTGAAATGAAGGCTTAGCTTTAGGGGTGATTTCCGACAAACCCACATATAGTGGTCCAAAGATGGACCAACACCGTAACAGCCGAGTAGCCTTCTAGCTCCTCGTGTTCTGTTTTGATTTTGTTTCACTTGAGACACTCGGACGAAAGCGCAAAGCAGCTGATAGCTATAGCGTCTATTAAGCGAGTTCCGACAGAAAACCGCGCGGGCGTTTCAAACCTTGTTAATCGGAACCGGGTGCTTCAACATTCATTGAAATCGTCAATAAGAGCCAACGATTATCACTAGTAAAGGAAACTGTTTTTATAATAGAGATTATAACGCAGCCAAAGCAAGCATATATATAAGAAGTTCTATGTACGACTGTGTGCTGCAAGACAAGGAAAAAGTTCTTGTTCCTGGAGCTACACAACAGCGTCTGTGGCCTGCGCGTTCTTCTGCTAGGGCGACATCTCGCTCACTCCGTGTGAACAGAGTAGAATAAGCAGCAGTAGTCTCAAAAGTGCACGAGACACGGCGACAGCGCTTATCTGTCAACGATGTTGATCCGTGGCCAGCCGATAATCAGCCGTAGTCGGTAAAGGACTGCGCGCAAGAGGTTGATGACCCCTAATGGTCATAGTACGTCGGTATGGTAAGCGCTGGCTCTAACGCTTGCCACTGATGAAGCTCACTCGGTAAGTTGAAATTATAGGACCTATCTGAGTATAATTACGTTGATATAAGCTTGCTCAAAATGCCATCACACGTTGTTCTGGGCACCATTTAGTGATGATATAATAATTTTATTTATGAGGAAAATAATGGAACTGGTTAACATGGAAGCACTACATTTTCCGTGGATTCGAACCCAGATTTTTGAAAAACGTTGTTTTCCCTTTAAATTTTGTACTGTATGATAAGAATTATTCGCTCTATTTACCATGACAATAGTTGGTACTACGTGATTTCGCATATCTCTAAACAAGTTGGACTGAAGATTCCGAAGGTACTGCCGTAACAAATAAGATGCTTCATAAGATTCTTGGAAAATTATTTGTTATAAACATTAGTCCAAATATTACCAGTTTGACTCATAATTTCGCTGGTAAGTGTTGAAAATATTACTTATTGAATGGCCAACACAAACAACTGTCACTGGGTGGTCTTTAACAGTCTGTTTGGTTTTTCGTTTCAGACTCGCCTATGGTTGTGTTGTGATCGACATCTACTGCAGTGAACCTGTGGGTGTTCTCTTCCGCACTTACATCCGTCTATGGTAGAATTAAAAGTACGAGGTTACTTACGAACCTCGTAAAAGAATTTTCATGTTTTTAGTGTTTATATTTGATGCCATTTATAAAAGGTGCATGCTGTAAGGGGCTTAACACACGTAGCTATAGCTTATAACTAGTTTTAATGTGGAAGTTGCCATATCTGTGTGTACACGTGTAACAAATTCAAGATCGAGGTGTCGGTCCAGTAGCAGAACTATCTCAGTTCTCCCTAATCAGCTCACTGACCAGAAAAACCTGAAAATGAGCAACAGGGTACCCCGTCGTATCTCAAGTGACAGCGAGCCAGCTATACCTGAACGAAAATTCTGTGCTTACATGCATAGGGTATGCCAACAACCACGAATCGCGGGTAGAAAATATTGCTTACGACATGTACTGGAGGACCGCGATTCGCCTTACCGGCAATGTCAATATGTCCAGCCAAATACCCAGAGGAGATGTCGCTATCCTGCAGCAAAAACTGAACGACGTGAATATCTGTGCAAGATACATGTCAATAGGACGAAATCAGGCAAAGCTAAACGGCCAATGACTCTAAATGAAACACCGTTTAAAGTATTCGAATCTCTTGAAATTTACTGTCAAAAAGCCGAGCATAACGCCCAAATGGCTACAACATCGAGATCGACGTTAAAATTTTTTGATCCAGATAGTGACCAGGAGGCACCACTAATTGAGAATTGCTACATCTACGATGGTGACAGTGATGCTGAAAGTGTTGACGAGGAGATGACAGATTTCAAAAAACACGCAGGTGTATTTACGGCTGAAGAAGCAGCAAGAACTACAAAGGAAAAGATGTTGCGTCTTCAACAACTGTATTTGGATCAGTTTCACCGATTACGATACATGTACAAGGAACGTAGAAGAGATTATTTGTATCGACAGCAGTTTGAGAAACCACATGTGGGTAAAGACTTCAATAACCCTCGAGACGAGCGCCTCTATCGACGTTTTATTGCCTATAAGAACTATCGGCGAGTGCACGGACAAGAAGCTACCCTTAAGCACAAAATGAAGGTAAAACGCAAGGCTCAGGCGGATGGCGTATCTTACCCTTTGCCAAGAACTTCCTGCGAGACATGTAAAGCACCGGATTGTGAGGAGACTCTCCTTCCTTTGACATCTTTCTGTCCTTCTCATATTTTGTTAGATCCTGATCAAAAACTTTTTCAAGCATGTAAAGAAGAAGGCTGCAATGAACCAGTTCTAAGAGTCCGCGGACGTGAACACTGCCCGGAGCATACTTCATTCGATGTCGACGCACTTCAAAAGCTGCTCGAAAGTTCGCTGCCTGAAGGTGTTGAGGTAAAGGAAGAGCCGCGTGAATTCTTTGATGGAATGGACGATGTTGCCGCGCTTGGCCTCGACGCTATAGAGCCTACAAACCTTTTTGGTCTTAACCAAAGTGGTATGTGATACTTTGTATTATTTGTGCCGTTTAAGAATATGCGACGCTTTTTCCTAAAGGTTCCTATTCAGTATTCAGCTCTTAATTACCAACCACGCTTCCGAATATAATTTAAGTTATCAAATGTATGATTAATTTAATATTTTTTATATACGAATGATGATCGTATAGTGTATAGTATGTTATGATGAGGACGGTGATGATAACGGACATCTGGCATTCAACAATAGGAATTTCTACAACGGGTGAGGCAGATGATGATGAGTCAACAGATTCGGCGATGTCAGACGATGGTTTACCAACAGACACTGCTCTATACGACGACGAAATGCCCCTGTCGGTCGCTGGCTCCAGCAACTCGAGAGTTCAATCAGATGCAACCTCATCGCTTCGGGAACCGCAGCAACATCATCAGCAACAACATCAAGAACCTAGTCGCGAAAATCCGCAGCGCGGCCCGGGGGTTAGTGCTCTTGGACATGGAGGGGGAGTTAGTACAGCTGCGAGCGTTAATAAAGATACCTCCAACTTTGAGGCTTTAAAGGGCCGTTCAGTTCGAATAGTCGGTGGGCAACAAGTACAGTTGCAAGTGACGCGGCAGATGTCAACCGCTCTGCAAAGTGCACCAGAATACATTCTTGAGAACCATGGTGCTGGGCAGACGTAGTGATATCAAAAACTTTTAATGTAATTACGCGTAACTAGTGTAACCACAGAACTCATGTTTGTTAAAAGCAGGGCATTATCTACAAACCAAAAAAATATATATTAGCCTGCGAGATTGTAAATACTTGCTATACCGATCTGAATATGTGAATGCACTATTTGTCTTTGTTGGCGGGGTTGTCGAGGATAGATAATGTTATAAGATATATCGTGGTCCTCGCAAAAAGTCGAAATTAACATAACAAAATTGAGTTTAAATACATTACTATTATTTTTTTCACATATATGTGTATAATAGCCTTGTACAGAACGACATCAGATATGCTCTTCAGATGGAGATGCCTTATCGAAGAGAAATTGATGTTGCCGCTTTTGACAAATATTATGTGAATAAATTCTGCTGCGACGATCCCTGTGCAGTGATTTAAATACACGATATACTCTCTAAATTAACTGTAAAAATTTAAGTCGAGTAAGATAAGGTTTTTCTTATGGTCTGCAATGAATAGAAATTTTACCGGTAACTTTGATAAATGCCGTCGTAGCTTAATTCAAATTAATGGCATGCCGTCGTAGCTTAATTCAAATTAATGGTGACGACGACGCGGTACAAAATATATAATAGTACATTGCTTTGTTTTAATGTCAGAATTTTTATAATCGAGCACTTATTTCTGACATTGCGCAATACAGATGGATATCGAAAATAGATATACGCCGCAAATGATATCCCAAAACAAGATCTGTTTCTATTATATTCTATCCAAAAATGAAAAGCATACTCGCACACTTTTATGAACCTGATCACACGGCATCACTTGCAGCCGCACAAGATTCAACTGTTGTTTCGTGTTTTCCTCGATGAAGCGATTAACTGTATCAGCCCTCTTGAGATATATCAGTCCAATATTATAACTGAGTATACTGAGTCCAGTGAACGCGTCAAGATTAGCAGTCAGCATACAAAACGATATATTTAGTGTGAAGTCTCATTAAGGAATGCCGAAACCTTGATATAGTTATCAAAAGTGATGTTGTGTAAATTAAGCTATAGATGGAACTTGTATAGCATGCAGATCAATGATAAAGGCAACAAATTGTGAGTGCTGAGCATATTCTAAGAACGAACCCTATTTTCTTGTTAATGAAAACTGATATTTTTTATTTCACTGATATACAGAAAAAGACCACCACAATTAAAACCTTTTTGTATATTAGAACAAATAGTGCCTCCCGTTTAAATAACTTGTATGTATGCTGTAATAATAGCATTAACTAACGTTTCTATTGCTTGTTTAACAGTATTTTGAAATTCAGTAATGCAGTTTATTGCAAATTCATGTTAATATGATACAAATAATGCACGAAGAAAAAATTTACCAATTTTTGAGTTCGACAGTAGTTATCCACGACCTATTTTCAAGTAATCTGATAGACATAAATTTTCCTACATGATACAGAAACCATTTTTGACATGTCTTGTTGCGCTGTTTAGTTCGTTTGTAGTTTCGATTTTATTCAATATGAACGGGATTAAGTAATAAGCAGGAACCTCAAAAGAGTAAACTTTAGCATCATAGCGATCACAGTAACTGAGTCCATTAAAGAAACATAAGAGATTTCTTTTCTTGAAAGAGATAAAATTGCGCGGCACCAATACCCCGGTGAAGGCTTATTTAAGAAAACAATTTATATTGATTAAAACAAGATTGGATACAAAAAATATTCTTTTGTGTACCGTGACGAATACAACAACAAAATGCTCTTCCAAGTGTTACTTTTTATAGATTTAGAGTATCGCATTGTAACTAATATACCTGTAATAGTATGAACTGGAGGCGGTGTTGAGGTACCTAGGAGAGCACAACAATGGGCTGTATTGGCACTGACTTTGGTCAACCCGCCTTTAAAGCTACCACATAAGTCGCACACATACACCATTTGCTGAGCAAAAACGAACGAAAACAAATAAAATTGATTATTCGGTTATTTTCGAAACCAGATTCGTTTTCAAGTAGATAAATGAAAATAAAATGTGCGTTAAAAGCGATTCTAATTAGTCTAAAAGACACCTCGCAGGGGCCACCGAACAGCGCTATTCAAATCTCCTCCAATTGGTGCCTCTTATTATTTCTATTTGTTATATTTTTAAGACCATCAGTTATTTTTTTTCTGCGAACATATCCTCAGAACCACCTCTACATTATTTTCTTCTGTATAGGATTAAGAACTGACCCCTTCTAAAAGGCCCAACCAGAGCCGGTCTCGTTGGAATTAAATGGAGTTCTTCCAACAAACCACTAAACCGGGATAGCATTTATCTGTCATAATAACAATTTGCTCAAGTGAAATTTTAATAGCGATGAACGCATCCTCATGATTACCATAGTAACGCACCTAAGAGATGCGCATGAACCACCCAGACTATGTCCTGCTCTAACTGGTTGAGAACCTAGAAGCTGTTTAATGATACGGTTCTCTTACAACTAACGACCTTTGACAGGTTGGCTGTCAACAGCAAAAAATCGTGACTCCTTTAGAGTTTGAAGGTACAGCATAAATAGGCTTAAGTCGCATATAAGTAACGTGACAAGGATACGTTCAGGGTAGATAAATGTGCATTGTGTATCAGAAAGTGCCAATCATCCGTTTCATGATTGCGTTTTCTCTTTTTACGGTAGGAGAGGCCCTATGATTGTTATTGCTAAATGCTCGGGAATGCACGTTTTAAGTATTCCATTTCAAGTGGGTTAAAACAGAAGGTTTGTATAGCATAAAAATTTGCAGAAACAACTACTAAGCTTAGACAGTGACTACCAAATTATTAATACTGCTGAAGGCTGGCAGCAAGTAAACATATGCAATAGATATATAAGCGAAAGGTGCGGATTTTCGCTTTGAAAATTTCTTACATATATTATTTAATATTTAATACGTGTTCGGTTGTTAAGCTATAAATGATATCTATTTCTAAAGCAAGGCTTTTTCGCCGGCACAAAATATCAGTAGGGTTATAAGTGTTTCTATATGTCCTGAAACCTTAACTTTATCCCTTAGAAATCAAAGTAGAATATGAACTCACGAGTGTCTCAAAGTAGCAAGTTGAAGTACCAATTCCTACTGAGTAAAATTTTTTTTATATAGTCCCGCTAGCATGACTGCAGCTCCAGGGATATCTTCACCGGTCGGATACTCCGAGGACCTGTACCTTAAATGTTGTTCTCGATATCATTGCTATAAACATACCATTTCAGCAGCAGGTTTTATGTCGCCAGATGAATATGAAGCCATAGACAAACATAAAAGTATGCCGAATTATCTTAATAAAGTGAAAAAATTCAATTCTACACAATTTCAGGACCTCTCCGGGAGAAGGGTTTAGCCATTCTCGGTAGACGCCAACCCATCCGACAAATGAAGACAATTATATTACTGCCAAGAGAAAATTTCATCTTTTCTGAATACTAGATCTACTTCGTCAGCATCGAAATACTTTTAAAGCAAAAAGATTAAACCATTCGTGTATTGTTCTATGAATTTGTTAATTTTTAACCTCAGACTTAAAGCTACAAAGTCGTTAATTGCTCGATCCGATCTTTCGCTGCTTTTTCTTTCCCCCTTTCCTTTAATTGGAAATGGTTGCCAGAAATAGAGGGTTCGTTTCGAACAAGCTAACCCCCCGCCAATATCCACCTCAGTGGCGGGTCTTTCTCAAACCGTTAAAAACACCTAGATTTGTCTTTCGAATCCGATAAATATAATAGGCTTGTTTGGTGCTGTTTTAGTAGCGCTACGTAACGGACGTGATTCACGCGTGTGTATAGAATGAAATTTTACTGTTGTGCTTAAAGATAAGCCAAATTTCGACTGATTGATAGATTCGCGCCGTTGGTGCCATTTAAATTTAGCGGCGTCCGCAACCGCTAGCTCAGGCGTTGGCCGGTTCAGGGCGCTCAAAGCGCTCACTCCGTTGGGGCGAAGCTCGCTGTCACATTGAGCTCGGTCGTTTTCAGCGGTTTTTAGAGTCTTCAACGTGCGGCTTTCAATAGTCATTAAAAATGCGTGAAATCGTGCATATCCAGACGGGGCAATGCGGAAACCAGATTGGTGCAAAAGTAAGTTTTACTTTCTCTAGGTTTAGACGTGGTAGCGCCAAGTTGCCTTCACTTTAGCTTAGCTTGCATTGAGAACCCATCCAGACTACCCATTTGAATGGGTACAACTCATGGCTCGGTTGGGTTGCAACTATGGCTGGCACTACTGGCCCATGATACAGCTCGAAGTAAGCTTTGGGTGCAAATCCTTTTAATGCCAACGAACTGTATTTTAGACTCATAAGTCACGCATGAGCTCGTCGATTATTCAAAAAGTCGAGACGTTCATTTTGACCTGCCAAGTCATCAAAAACCCCATCCGATTTTCCAATTTTTCTATTACATTTATTTCACCTGTTTTATATGATTATACATAGTCTGTCCTTTATACGAGAAATTCAACTCTCCCACCGGAGCAATTATCTTTATGGGCAGGCGATTCTAGAAATCGTACACGGGCTGCTACTTTTGACGTTAGGCTTAGCTCACTAACTAGTAGTCGCTCTCTTGGTCATGTTCCGTAGTTTGTGCAGTGGGGCGGGGTTTGTTTCTAGGTCATTCGAGCCAATTGTATTACATAGGCGAGCAAACAGTCACTGTTACATTTTAATTTCTATAGAATTATCTAAAAACTACCAAACAATTGCATGCAAACATTTTCTTTTAGGCTTTCTTGGGTCAATATATTAGCTTCTTCTTTTAAATTCGTCGACCAAGAGCTAGGCTACATGTATAACATGGAGCTCTGCTGAGATGCCTGATTGGCGTGATTAACGTATCGATCGACAAGAGAAAGAAACAGCTCCTGTTTATTACCCAGTGCTTAATGCTGACTTAAGTATTTAGGGAGTACTTCGACAAGACAGATTAAGAGACTAGGGCGTATCGTGTTAAATGCCCTTTAGTAATAGTAAATGCAGCCTGGATATACGCAATGTTCGAACTTAAAGATGAAACTGCATTAATATTAAAAGAAACTTTAGAAATGTGGCGATTGGATACTACAGAACGTGTTTTCTATTTTTCATCGCATTTTGAATGTAAAATATGATTATTAGATTAGGTTTGCAAAAATAATTTTAAATTGTCACATAATCTGCTGTACATTAGGTGTCTTGTAAAGATGCTATAATGCCTAATATTTCTTCTGTTCAGTAAGTTGCGCTTAGCTTAAATCTAACTATACAAAATACTGTCTTTGAAATCCCTTCAGTTCTGGGAGGTAATTTCTGATGAGCATGGTATCGATCCAACTGGTGCCTACCATGGCGACTCTGACCTGCAGCTGGAGCGCATCAACGTGTATTACAATGAAGCATCCGGTGGCAAGTACGTACCACGGGCTGTGCTAGTTGATCTCGAGCCAGGCACTATGGACTCTGTACGGTCGGGTCCTTTCGGACAACTTTTCCGGCCGGACAATTTTGTGTTCGGGCAAAGTGGCGCAGGCAACAACTGGGCTAAGGGCCATTATACAGAGGGAGCTGAATTGGTCGACTCCGTTCTCGATGTGGTGCGCAAGGAGGCTGAGGGCTGCGACTGTTTACAAGGCTTTCAGTTGACTCATTCGCTAGGAGGAGGCACTGGCTCAGGAATGGGCACCCTTCTCATTTCGAAGATCCGCGAGGAGTATCCAGACCGTATAATGAACACTTTCTCTGTCGTTCCGTCACCTAAGGTTTCCGACACGGTTGTCGAACCCTACAATGCAACCCTCTCTGTGCATCAGCTGGTGGAAAACACGGACGAGACTTACTGTATCGATAACGAAGCCCTTTATGACATTTGTTTCCGAACTCTAAAACTGACTACCCCGACGTACGGTGACCTCAACCATCTAGTGTCAGCGACAATGTCGGGAGTGACCACTTGCCTACGTTTCCCAGGACAGTTAAACGCCGATCTCCGAAAACTCGCCGTTAATATGGTGCCGTTTCCTCGTCTACACTTCTTCATGCCTGGCTTTGCGCCACTGACGTCTCGTGGTTCGCAGCAATACCGAGCTCTTACCGTTCCCGAGCTTACACAGCAGATGTTCGACGCAAAGGTGTGCATGTAATTTCAGTTTAACTATGATCTATTACATTACATATGATTATACATCGTTCTACTATGGATGCTATGGATGATTCATGGGAATTCAACGTTATCCGTAGATGTTTGTATTTGGCATGCTTTGACATACTTCCTAGCAAGATTATTGATGAGTTTGATTGCTTTTCGCTGCAATTTCGTTTTTACAGAACATGATGGCTGCGTGCGACCCGCGTCATGGCCGTTACCTGACAGTGGCTGCGATTTTCCGTGGCCGAATGTCCATGAAGGAGGTGGACGAGCAGATGCTCAACGTCCAAAATAAAAACTCTTCTTACTTCGTCGAATGGATTCCAAACAACGTCAAGACCGCCGTATGTGATATTCCGCCCCGTGGACTCAAGATGGCGGCTACTTTCATCGGTAACTCGACAGCCATCCAGGAGCTGTTCAAGCGAATTTCTGAGCAATTCACTGCCATGTTTCGTCGTAAGGCTTTCCTCCATTGGTATACTGGCGAAGGCATGGATGAGATGGAGTTCACGGAGGCCGAGTCTAATATGAACGACCTCGTGTCGGAGTACCAGCAGTATCAAGAAGCGACCGCTGACGATGAGGGTGAGTTCGACGATGAGGAAGAGGAGGTCCAGGCCGAGTAGATGTTGACGGCAAGGCGACAACCGACTAGCGAAGAAAGGGAAGAATTTCGAATTAAAATTTATGACTACCACTACTACTACCTGCTACAGAAAATGCGAGCTAGGTGCAAACAGACCCCAAACCAGATTAGTCCTACTAATCCGTCGAGCTGTAGCAGTCCCCGTGTAATCTGTCGATGTCTCTGGTTTAATGGGGGTCGCCTTTAGGAATAACGTCGCGCTTTAAGCTGTTCACACAAGTATTGTGTTCAAATGGTCTCTGTACATATACAAAGAACGTGTTGGATGCTAATACCTCTACGATTCGATCAGCACGGACTGGTGCTGGTAAGGTTCTGGTAGAATACGGGCCAAAATTTTTTCTGGCCTTTTTCAACCATCTCTCTATAATATCGTCTTCGTCTGCTAATTTATTACGATTTTGGCGACCGAGCAGATTTATTTCACGAAATCTAAGCAGTCTCCAGACAGCCGTCGTGGATTATCCTAAGGTAAAAACTAAACAGTATAAGAAAAGCGAGGGTGATGAATCTATATTATATTATATTATTACTAAACGATCAGCCTTGATTGAGTTGACCTAGGAACGGCGAGAGCTGATTCCATCCTTGAATGACCTCAACAGTGAAAAAACGACCGAAATATGACCTAAAATAATACATTCGATTTGTTGAACGCATTATTCATGTCTTCATTTACTAGGCACGTAAGCGTTCGCTGTAAAGGTAATATATATTTATTCAAACTCTTATTTCGCAATCATAATTTGTTATATGAGTAATATAAAAAGGGAAATTGTGCATCAGCAACTGGTGCTAGTGCTTGTTTTAATACTAACGCTTAGCGATCATGAACGAACACACACTTTTGCTTATTTGCTTTGGATAGTGACATTAATCACATTAACAACGCAACCACGTTTAAATTTCCTTTAGAAACCATAGGCCAAAGCAAATATGTTAGTTCCAGTTACTCAGTATCTGGCAACAAACTCCACCACGATGTAAAATATTTACATGAGGCTATTGATGGGAAGTTCAGGTAAAGCTACGCTATATTTACCTTTACTTGTTCCGTTATTACAATCCGTTATTTTGAAGAATCTGAATGATGAATGCATTAAAATCGCTCGCTTTAAATGCATTTCTGCATCGGGGCAAATCCAAAGTTTTCAGAATTATGTAGAACCTAATAGCGACAAAAGGAGCTGTCTACAATCAAAAGTCCAGTGCATTATTTCGAGGAGTTCAGTGGCGTTTCCCCAAAGTAGCATCATAGTAATAAGTAAGACATGAACATATTTATACAAACACAGTGCGTTTTTTTAAGCACCTTGTTTTCGAATAATTGAAGACTTTAAGTCAATAGTATGCTTACCTTTGTAAACCGTGCAGTAGAAAACACGATGCGCTTACGTAAAAGGCACACAATACTTAGAGCAACACTAAGTGCTCTTGGTGTGTTATTTGTAACTACACTAAATATGTATTCTATGACTCACGCACTATTTCGCGCCGATACATCTAACACCGGGACAACGAAGTTGCCTCTGTCATAAAAAACCGCAAATAGATCGATGTGTAGATCTGATGTTATAATTTCCGTCGAAATTATCCAAATAATCAGTTTAGTTATTAACCTAATTATTTCTGATTTATGCAAGTTATGGTACTTGGTTACAAAGACTTGGCGCGTGGTTTTACGCAAAAATTAGAGCTAGTTTCTTTGGAATTAAAAGCTAAAACGAAACGGAACAAAAAATTTTCTCGTTTTTTACGTTTAGGAGTTTTTCTTTTTTTACGAGAAGCGTTGATTTATTTAGATCATAACGCTGCGATCACCCTTTGATTCGGTCGCATAGTGGAACCAAATCAAAAAGGTGCAAGAGCAGTTCGATGAGACGTTTGTCACGTTGACTGACTGTGGTCAGATTGTGGTTGGCCAGAGTACAGAGAACTCCCGACTCGTGTCGCCCTTTGCGCACCTTTAAACGAATTGAATTTCTAGATGCCTCTCACCACTAGATTACTTCCCCGCTCAGTCTTTTTATACAGCCTTGGAATGGACCGGTCCCATTGGCCGGTTCTGCTTGGTGGCTGATGCTGTTGATCTCTGCCTATTTCCTACTGTGGCTAACAGGGTAGCCATTTTGTATCCATTGGAATACGGAGCGGCAGTTACAGATAGCTATTGCCTGTTGTCGTTGGTCGAGGCGAGGTCTGCTTATACGCCTGACGTGTATAGTCTCTTTAGTTTGTTGATTGACTGTGCGGAGGAGTTTATTAATATTTATCATTTTAAGTGCGAGGTCCTTCTCTTTGCATTTTGTATGTGTGTGTGTTATTATTTGCTTTATCGTTCGTAAGTCCAGTGTCTACTTCGAACCTTCAGGTCGTGTGTCCAGTACACGTTCGTACCTTCAACCATCGTTCATAATGTTGAGCGTAGAGGAGGCTCTCAAGATGGTCGATGACCTCATCGCGACCCTACCCCCTTTCGTACAAGGCCTGCTTGTAAAGGCTGAAACGGCCACCAAAGTACAAAAGAATAAACTTGTTGCAGGTACGTGTAAAAAATTCGACTGTTATTTTCGGCGTTGCTTTTTTAATGTCGATTTTTTAGTGTTCATTTACCCAGAATATTATCTGCTTCGCTCAGTTGGATGGCTTGACTTCTGCTTTGTAGTGTAATATACTTTGGAAACTGGCGAATCAATCAGTCTGAAATGACATCCGCGCACTTGTTGCTGAGGTTACGGCGTAAGCAGATTAAGCTGTCAATTGTGCCTTTAAAAGTCGAGTTGTCTCAAACACACGCAGCCACAAAACAGCATGACAATAGTATTATTAGACATGCATTTAGAAAAATATTTCAGACAACGAAATGAAAACAGCAAAAGTAAATATTTACAAAAAAAAAAGTTACTCGCATCTAATAATAATAAGGGGTAAGCCCTAGTTTACTGCTAAAATATTGCTTCCTAGAACAACTATTATTTAAGCTTTATACCCACTCGATAGGGACTGTCCGCATGACGCTTGAATCCAAGGGACGCAAAAATTATCGGTCGGACGCTACGGTAAATTTGACAAGTGTACGACTGCCGGCTTATGGATGAAGGCGTTAGGTTTTTGAACTTAAGTGTGAAAGGTAAAAATGAGTCCTAAACGAAGCTTTTTATTTAGCTGAAAAGAACAAGCGTGGCTTTTGTATCACAACAGCTTTTGGATTTAATCGCATCATATATCCTGCAATGCAAATCGAGGTGTGATTAAAAGCAACTGATTTTCCGCCAAATACAGGAAAACCTTGCTGAATCAAGCTGAGCTATGTCTAACTCTCACACACAAACTTATGCCGTATGAAGGCACAAGTCATCTGGGATGTAATAACATTTTTTGAATGATTTAGGGGGTTTTAAGTTGACTTGGTCCACAATATTCGCTCAGGGTTATGTCGTTTTCGGACTCAGCGACTATAACGCGTTTTAATTTTCATAGATTCCGTCGCAAGTTGACTCTAGAGGTATTTATTTTTCATTTTGATTCAAACTTATCCGTTATTTAGCATAACGTTGACGATATATCTATTTGCATATATATATTCTACAATTTGGGCTCTAGGATTTGACTTGTTTTTTCATTTCATTTTAATAATTGGCACGTTGTCGTAGCTTTTATTGCTTTTGGAACGACCCCTTTTGCACAAAGCTTGCTTAAAAAAGGTGAAGTTAATGAGAAACAAAAAAGAATTACATGCAATTGCAACCCAGTGCGACCTCTTTGTTTTTCCGTTAACGTTACGCCTGAAACTGTAAAACAAGTCAGGGGATTGGACGTCGTCATTTATTACTAAGTGCAGCTGACGTTGTCGGTAGTTGGCCTATTTATCCTCAGTCTGAACAGAGGTAGACTCTGTTCATTTTGTCCCTGTGTCGCCTTTCATATGCGTTTTTGCACATATTGCAACACGTTCCCTGATAAGTTTTTGGTTTCGGCGAATGGTACTTCTGGCTCAGTTCTCATGTCACAAGCGCAGACACTATCTGAATAAAATAAGAGAGTTGCTGCTGGCGAAGTTTGTTGGTACTGTCCTGGCGAAGACATATGTAGCCGAGTTTCTGATGGCTCCCACCAGAAGTTCCGTTTGAACTGCAAGCGACAGCGGCGACGACGACATTAGTAGTAGCAACACGATATTGTGTACTTGGTCGCTGACGCCGAAAATAATGGTCTCTTCCAGGTGGCAGCAGGAGCAGCGAGTTTAATATGTTTGTGCAGTTAGAGCCGATGCAGAAGTAAACACAGCGCCATCTCTATAGTGATCGGTTATCATTGGCACGGTGGCGATATCTTGATGTTAGTACAGCAGAATTTGTCCGCGTGTTTTATATATATATTTGTCCGCGTCTGGTTGATTGTGAGGACTTGCTTTCCTTCTACTGAAGTACACTATTTGAATGCTACTCTGCGCCTCTAGTTAATCTTTTGCCACTAGTGCAAATGTACCAGATTCCCTCTAATCAATGTTACATGAAAGTGTGGTGTCAAAAATAGTATCATCAATGATAGAGACTGTACTAACGAATGCAATGTCGACCACACCTCGATAGGATAATTATCTTGAAAGCCGTTTCCTCTTTTGCTCGATAATTTGTCGTCTGTACGTCGATAGTAGAACCAGAGGCACGCTGAGCACTAGGAAGTATATAATGTTGTTATATTGGCGCACAAAATAACTAACTTTCTCTGCCTTTCATGTCAGTGTAGTCTTAACGCTGCTCCAAATATGACATAAGGAGAATATAAGTAATCTAAGACTGAGAGCCAACGATAGGACAACAGGTGTATATGCACCATACCCTAGATCACACGCGGCTTTCTGCTTTCCATACCATCGATAGCAGGGACGATGAGGTCTTTCACATAAAGCTTCACATTCTTGGTAGATATACCCCATAAAATACCCTTTTCATATACAAGATACAGTACTAATCACATAAACAGCTTGCTACCTGACCGAACAACAAATTGTAGTTTACTTGACAAAATGCATGTATAAGCTCGTGACCTTAATACCTAATCTACCTCTTGACCTAATATACCTTCATATTTTAATTGTTGAACAAATCAACGAGTGCTAACAGGTTCACAGGAGTGCAAATAATCCTCTAAAGGTCATTTGAATTGTCTTGGCTCTTTTTCGGGTCGTTACCGAACCCAGCTAGGAAGTATAGCACAACGCGACCAGTGCAATATAAGCATTATCAATGAACTACATGAGTTGTTGATACTGTTATTGTATTCGAAAAACACTACATTCACTATCCATTTAAGTAAATAAATTTCTATTACAGTAACGTTTAAATCCATCCAATCACGATCTATCGGGTTCTCAGAGTTCAAGGTCATAGGCAAGAGATGAATTTTCGACTAGTCCTTGTCTAACAACCTCTAACGCGCGGTTCTAGAGATTTGTTCGCGACTTCGATTGCTACGGGATCCAATCCTTTATAAACATAGCTTTTCGAACCCACCTCACCACAATGAGCGGAACGGGCGTCGAATATGGCCCTCAGTTAGTTCAAAGGCGGATGCAAGGCGGTTTTTGCTTCAGCTTGATTTCGATGGCTTTACTTGAAACGGTCATTAGGTAACGCATTGTCGCCAGAAACCTGATAATCGGGTTAGCTTCTAACGTGTCTGTCTGCTGCTTTGCCACTCTGATTTCACACAATCACTATAGTATACATAGAACATTAATAAGCCGAAGATAGGGAAACTGGTTGGCGTGTGATATAGGTCTGCTGTACTTAAACATCTACGGACAGTTGATCTCAAAAGAGCATGCATTAGGCTTTTGCTACCTGTGTTTGCCTGTAGTCTCACTTATGGTCGTGGTTATTAATAAGCACTCTTAACAATACATAAAGCTGGTTTTTGATGATTGGTTAACGTTGTCGTTAGTGTAGCAATCTTTACCGTTAGCTACGACTTCATGTAACTCCTTGCTAGATAGGCTTCGTCGTGTTGAAACTGAATACCAGTTTACAAGCATTGGGTGCAAACACTGTGTAACAAACCCATACAAATTCGGGTAAACTGCTAGGCAATCTGTATAGGATAGGATAAGCTATACCTATTCGTTCACTTGTTCGCTTCTTTCTTGTTTCTACTTAAGATTTAGCATTGATTCTGTTTTTCCGAATAATTTAACATGCTTATATGTATACGCAAACAAGTTTGTCCATATACGATTCCGGCGTTTCAGTTTTTTATATATAGACACATTTTGGCGAACCGATTGCATGTGTAGAAATATTTGTAGATAAATAAGTGATGTATTTGTAGCTATCGATGTCCAACGATATCGATAGCGTAAATGAGTCAAGAATGAGGTGTATTCAGTCAAATGAGTGAGTGAAATTGTAACTGTATTTCGTATTTTCGTATTTATCTTTGTAATACAAATTGGTGTGTATAAAAAGTATAAAGTGCTTAAAAAATAGGTAACATAGTTCCAGTTGCATACAGTTCACATAAGTGATTACGACCAAGAACCAAATTCAAGAATTTCCACATTCATAGATTCATAGTTCGGTAAGGAATGTATCTCTGATCGCTGAATATGAGTCCGACAGGGGTTCGGGTTACCTCCAGGTTCCGAAGACAGCTTAACGGGTGAGTTCACGCTCTTAACGTTGCCAACCCACTGCTGTTGTTGTCGTTGCCAGGCAGCAGTTTGCAGGTCCTCAGTTCAAAGTTCTAACTTTACGAATGACTATGGTACACGGCCTGGGACATACTGACATTAACTTGGCCACAGATCTGTCTACCATCTAAGCAAAGCGATATCCGAAGAGCCGTATACATAACGTTCGTTTATTATAATAGGGTTATGCAGATTTTGTCTGCTAGGGCTTTTTTACAACAAGGCCGGACTAGTATTTACATTGTAAAAAAATTTCTTCGACATATTCGATAGTGTCTTAACATATGAAATATTTTGTGCTACCTTCATTGTGTGCATGAATGCTTCAACTTTCGAAAATTACTTCTGGTACACATAGAATACTTTGCGTTCCTATTACTGGTTTTCTATTACATGCAAGGATTGTTAAAACAAATTGAATAACATTGTATAATGTGAACTATGATTGTTACTTCACAACACATTAGTGCCTCTGATAACATATGGAACTCAATTTTGCAAAATATCTTGTTGCTGTGAGCAAACCAAAAAGTCTAGTAATTTACTAATCTTCCAAGTTTGATCATTATAAAGTGTGACCCACGAATGAATGGCTAATATATTAATATTTTTTAAACGATGTGGTGAAATGTACGTGTCAAATTGGTTTCCTAATCCCCGTCCTCTGAATGTACAATCGTGCGACTTGCGGAAGTTTGGTACAACTGGTTTAGAGAATACCAGCTATTTTCTGCTGCAGTGGACAGGCGAAGAAGCGCGTCATCGATTTTATGCAGCTAACCCGAAAAGATGTCGCTTCGAACAACTTAATGGAGTGGTGGATTTTTTTGAACGCTTATGCAATCCGCCTCCACCTCCACCTTTGCCATTCATCTACCGTCGTTGTATTTTCAGGAATAAACAGCGTACCTGTACGTGTCGTTGTGACACATCACGATACACACATACGTTCTAAAAGTGATACTTGAACAATTGAAATATTGGCATGAAAAATATTTTCATTTGACGCACAATGCCAAGGCGTTAGCACTTATAGTTGGACCTCGGAAAGGACGACCATACAGTACACTGCAAAGTAACATAAATGTGCTTTTAAAATAATTTAATCATCCGCCAGTTTCAAATGTTATTAGCATTCTGTTGGTAAAGGCATTGATATATTTAGGTATGGAGAGTTCTATAATTCATCTATTTATAGGTACTGGAAAAAACGGTGCTACACGAAACTGCTGTCGGCAAACCCACCGAAAGCGATTGTACTTAACCGACTTACACTGGTAAGTCGGTAGGTACAAAAAACATTAAAATGTATGTTTTTGCTGTACACCAAGCTCGCCTAGCGGTGACTATGGGAATACTGGATAGTAAAGCTATTCAGTTTCACTAGCGGCTTGAACGGGGATTTCAATCGCATTTACGCGGTCAACGCTCACAGGAGTCAACTAACTACATCATGAGAACTAAATAACTGTGCGAATAACAATAATGAAATTAATCTATAAAGTTACTTTAGTCTTTTTTGTTATAAACCTATATTGCTGAGTCTGAATACTCGCTAGCCCGAGCATCTAACAGCGTTTTACGTTAATGTATACACTCAACTTGCCTCTTGAAAAAAGGCTTGTAAAGGGTCTAACTCTAAATAGAAATGTTAATAGTTAGCCGATCATAGTACTCGAGGTTTTTCATATTGATGTTTGGTGTATCTAAATTATTGCGTAGTAAGTGTCGCAGAAACTGCTAGTCTTTAATTTTTCTACTCAGCAATGTGTATATATATATA